AGCTGATCCGAGACACCAGTTTATATTTTCTGAAGAATGCAATGCGAGGCTGTTATAATTATGACATATGGGCTTTTCTACTCTGCAGTCATCAGAAACGTGACATTACTTCCTCCATTCTTATCCTAGATGTTGTGATGTTAAATGCAAGGTTTCAAACTGCCCTTCTTCTTTGTAATGAAACCCCACTCCTTTTACCTGTGATGACAGATCCATCTGTGTGATAATATCACCTGAGCATGACTTTTCTTTGATCAGTTCTTGCACTGATGCTTATGCCCCTCCCCATCTATCCATTCCCAACACCCTCGGTTTAAAGCAACTATCGCTGAATGCATGGCTGTTTTGCTGGGTAGCAATTTTATCCATTCCTTATCATCTTGTCAATTGCACACACATTTCTGATAGTGAATTCCGTCTGTGCTATCTGAGAACCAACTCTCTTCACCTTTTGCCCCTTAAAATAACATGGTAGAATACAACCTACCGAGAGCCATGTCACTTAGGCTGTGAAAACAGACCAGAGTTCGACCACATAAGCGAGGAATAGATGGAATATCCAAGGCTATAAATACTAGCATATACATAGCAAATACCAAGGCCTCTTCAAAACTGAGACTGAAAGGCAGAAGAAGAGGAAGAAGATGAAGAAGAAGAAGAATACAACTACTAGGATGTGAAGGGTGGCCTTCATAGATTCTAGCATAACAAAGTTGAGGAGTCAGTTCCCTTTCTCACAATTATCTCTTAACACTGTTTTATTATGAACTGAACCAGTGCAACAGCCAAACTGCTGGGGTTAACAAATCCGTTACTGCTTGAGACAACAAATCCTGCCAGGTCTGGGGATTGTACCAGTTTCAAACCTTCTTTGTGTGTTGTAAACATAACAGTTGCAAGCAGCTTCCTGATAATTATTGAAAATAGGTCAGCAGTTTATTTAGTGGCCAAGGGTTGGCCATGAAACTGTCAAGATATTTTCTCTGGTGTATTCCCTGGAATCTGTGTTTTCTGGGTATAGCAGTAATTGTTGTTTACGCTGTGGGAAGGTCAGTAGGTTAAGGTCGTGTCATGTCTGGTAACAGTTTGTAACAAACAAAGCGCAGAGGGGATACTGTTGCAGGTTGTATGTAGGATGTAACCTGGGTTCATGTTTAATTGCAGTCAGATGTTTGTAGTTTTATGGTCTGTTTTTATCTGTTTACAACATCACCTAAGAAGTGTAAATTTGTCTTTGTGTAATACTTTGGGTATCGGGTTAGAGACAGTTCTCCTCCTCCTCCCCCTCCTCCACCACCTTCTTCTTCTTCTCCTTCATCTTCTTCTCCTTCTTCTTTTTCATCTTCTTCTATTACCTCGTCAGGGTGTTGAGAGGAGATGCAAGGATCTTCTGTGTGCTCTTTCTGATAGGTTGCATACATTGATCTTCTTTTGTTTGATACTGTTCTTGATGCCGTCATTCCACATATTGCATGGTCTTCCCCTCGCTCTGTTTGCATTACATTTCTTCAGCATGGTTCTCTGTGTTGGGTACCAGGGTGTTCTAGTCAGATGGCCAGACCATCTCATCTTTTGCTCTTTAATAAAATGTATGACTGACTGGTTTCATTCCAATCTTCTTCTGATTTCTTCATGTATAATTGTATGTTGGAATTGGTGGACCCTGAAGTACTTACTGCTTGTGATGAAAACATCCCCAACTGTGTTTGTGCTATATTAAATCATGACCTAGTTATTTTTTAATTCATTGGTCTCCAACCTGGAGGACATACCCTCCTGGGGGAAGGGAGGAAGGCGGTTTCCAGTGTTGGGCGGGGGAGGGGGGGGAGGTGGCGTGATCAGCACATTTAAAAGTGAGTGCATTTGTACTTGTAATAATCCATTTTGCCTACAATTATTTTATTAATAACATGTTTTTAAAACTTATTTTAACAAAACAAGGACATTTTTGTTTTCATTGGGGGGGGGGGGGGGGGGGCCTTGCCGTATATTCGAGGGGGGGGGGGGAAGGCCTTGCTGTATATTCGAGGGGGGGGGGGGGGGGGGGGAAAGAGTAAGGCCTTGCCATACATTCAAGGGGAGGGGGGGGGGGGTGTTAATCCTTGCCGTATATTCTAAGGGGGTGTTGTGGCCCTTTTGTCCTGTACAAAATGCTGCGTTTATAGATAGTATCATTTATTTTAAGATTTAGTGTAAGAAATATTGTTTATTTATACGTTAAATACTTTACAGTTCAGTATGTTGTTTGTGATTTTTCTTCTTCTTCGCGTTCACCAGCTGTACACTCTGGTGTAAAGTTCTGGTTGTTCGTCTACTTCTGCACTGCAGTCCTTCTCCAGAACCTGAGTGTTGCGTGTGCATCAGTTTTACAGATCTGATTCAATTGAATGCAGACTGCTGGTTCCTTGCCTCTCAGGCAGATGCACGCTAACTTCAAAGGAAGCTCCCCAGTTAGTCTTTTGGTGAGGCAGTGGGTCTATTCTTGTTTTACCCACAATAGAGCCCCAGAACCCCGAGGGTCTTTTGTGATTAATTACTTTACAGTTCAGAATGACTTTTGTGATTAATTACTTTACAGTTTAATTATATCTTGTTTGCTTCAGTGGACTAACACAAAAATCTATTTGTCTGGCTATAGATCTCAACTAGGGCTTTTATTTCGCGCAAAGCTTTTATTACAAGAATCCTGACAAGTAATGTCAGGGCTTATTTTTGGAGAAACACAGTAGTTTTCTTAGAAATGCCGTTTACCCAAGAATGAGACATCACATCCTGGTTTTATAAATAGATAATGAAATATTTAATGCATACATGCTACCTCTTGTTTATGCTGTATAGACTTTTATCTTGATATAAAGGCCTTATTGGTGCAGTGGCTAGTTTGGTCACTTGCAGACACAGTGGTATTGTCTTTGGTGATTTATTTTTATGGCGTACAGCTGTGGATTGGACCCGAACGCCGTGGCTTAGAGGTTAGCGATTGCAGTTTACAATTTCACGATCCTCGAGGGCTGTGGTTTGTTTGCCGCCATGGATGGTTTTAAAACCGTTCTCATGGCTTTCGAACAATGGTGTGAGAATCGTGCTGTGGAAGAGATGTGGCCTCATCATGTGATATTCCCAAACACAACAGTGGTACCCTGAAGCTAACCATCATTTTGGAGACAGCACAGAACAGCAAAATATTGAGTGCTGCCTTTAGAGTTAGAACATAGACCTTCATAAAAAAAATATGGTGGTTAATTTTTTTATTCAGGGTGAGGCTTTTGAAATGTAGATCTTAGGAGCACTGAAATTAACATTAGAAAATGATCAGTTTATGGAGGAAAGTAAATGTAGCTGGAATGTTACTACACAACAGGTACTAAAGGTGGAATGAGGAATAACTACTGTAGGGTGTAGTGTTTTCTGGGGCTAAACATATACAGACTGACCATTTGTAGGAAGTAGTAATACACATGATGCGCTGGTTGGGACACACTGGACGGAACCAGCTAGACATCACACAGTTCTTGAGACTGAAAAAACTACTGGCGTGGACAGGGACAGAATACTCTTGAAATTTGCCTGTATTTGCAGTTTTGCTTCCTGCATGAAATTCACTGTTTTAAATATAACAGAGTAGTATGAGATTGTGAGCTATCCTGGTGTAGCAGATAGATGTGGTTCTTAGGGTTGTGGGTGTTTCCTGACAGTACCAGCCTTTTCCCCCCTTCTTTTTTTGTACTTTTTTTAATCAAAAACGACTTTGACTTCCAGGTTACCCAGCCTTGAATGACCACCAGGTGGAGCCCTGAAAAGTAAAGGTGGCCAGTGTGGTGTTGAGCACATCACCCACCAAGGGCTGATTGGTCTGTAAAATATAGGTCTAGCCCTGTTTGCCTAAAGGCGTGAAAAGGGACTTTTACTTTACTTACTATTGGATTTTGCCCAATTGGCTTGAAAGGTGTGGGAAGGGACTTTTACTTTACTTACTATTGGATTTTGCTCAATTGGCTTGAAAGGTGTGAGAAGAGACTTTTACTTTACTTACTATTGGATTTTGCCCAATTGGCTTGAAAGGTGGGAAAAAGGATCCTGTTTACTATAGGATTTGATACTTTAAAGTGTTTTATAAACTGTATTTGCTTCAGTTTTGTAAAATCTGCTCAACACTTCAGACCCACACATGCACAAATGTATCTACACACACAGACACACACTGTGCATACAGAGATACTCCACTGTCACATAATCATAACATCTACCTTGAATTGTATTATTTAGTTGTTAGTCCCTTATGTTTTGCTTTGCTACATATACTTGTCTTTTGTCTTGATCTGTTTATATTTAGTATCTGTACTCAGATATGTTGTCTTCTACCCAAGGCAAGATGTCGGTACTCACCACATAGTGTGTTACAGTAGCGCCAGGAAAAAAGTCTTGCATCTGCTGTTTTCCTACTAGCTTTTGCCAGACTAGATTCACAAGCCTGTCATATTAAATCACATATAGTCATTTTATTATGTTTTCTTGTGAGAAGGTGATCATTTGCAGACAGTATTTTGTCTTATTTCCTCATCCTGTGCTGTAGTTGCAGCTGCTTTGGAGGCAGGCAGACCATCAGTCTTTTCATTAACAAATATATTTTACCTAAACTTATTGGTCTGCTGCTCTCGTTACAGTTTTTTTCAGAATTGTGTTGTCTTATTTTTATGCTTCTGCTGCTCTTTTATTTTTATAAAATGCATAAATTGCACTGAAGCTTCTACAGGCTCCCTCAATCATTCCACTACCCCAGTGACCACCCCTTTAGATCGTTCTAGTGCCCCAACCAGGGGATGCTGTCATTCACTTTAGGAAACTAGATGTAGTCCAGTATGGTCTGGACAGCAAAGTTGGCCTCAATTCTTGTTGATGTGATACTCTGTATGTGACATACAGGCCAGATATATCCTTATTGAACCTTGGATCATTGATGTTTTATAACTAACTCATAATTATTTTTTTATTTCCTGCAGGGGTATGACAGTGACATCAGGTCATGTGACACTGAAAAAGGACTCCCAGAACCTGATTGGTATCAGTATTGGAGGTGGCTCTCCGCTGTGCCCTTGTTTATACGTGGTGCAGGTATTTGATAACACAGCCGCAGCTAAGGATGGCTCTCTTGCCGCAGGAGATGAAATTGTTGGTGTTAACGGACAGTCGGTCAAAGGTCGGACTAAAGTGGAAGTAGCCAGGATGATTCAGGCAATAAAGGTGAAATAAAGAATATGTGTTGGAAATTATTTTGTATACTATAATTATTGAATGTACACATAATAAAAACAAAATGATAAATACACAAACAAGAAGCTACTCCATTTGTGGAATTTGTACTTTGTGCGTTGCTTTCAGCAGCCAACTAGATGTTAAGTTTTGAGAGGCAAAAACATATAGGATACTACCTGATGCACTGAATTTGATTATCTCGACTTTAAACCTTTACATTTTGTTTTTGGTATCAGACAATAATTGAACCATTTTATCTTGGACAACCCGTAGAGGGAAAAACCTATGATCTTGAGAATTCCACAGCAGGTCATGTTACAAAAATTTAACTCTACGTAGGCCACTCATAAATTTTAATTTTATTTAGAGATTTATCTGTTTGAAATTTTTTTTGAAATAGTGAGGTGTAGAGGAAGGGGATGGATTAAACAGTAAATGTGTATAGATTTTTAAACAGATTACACTCACTAAGCCTAAAAAATGGATTTAATGACTGGTTCTTGCCATCTTGACCTTGTCGCTATGTAACAACTAAGCCAAGATAAATTGTGATGTCATAATGACCTTACAAAAAGCCATCCTTCAGAAGATCCCCTTACCTCCGCCTCCCCCATGCTGTTTTTGGTAAATAAAAATCATATCTAGTGCCTTCTAAACTTTATACTGCGCAGGGGCAAACAGAACCACTGCCAATAATTAACCTTTCTAGAGACAGGTCACTGCAGCAGTGTCAGTTTACAGGCATTTAGAGGGGTTTGTAATGGAGGCAGTGGATTAGCGGCATTGTGTGTGTGTGGCAAAAAGGTTCGCTCACTCTATTTTAGTGGATATTTCTTCATCTTCTGCAGTCACCCTTAATAGGACAGTTTGTCACATTTTGGTGTAGTTTACAGCTAGGCTGCAATATACACATCTTCCCATCAAGCACATCTCATTGCAGCAAACCTCTAATTAGTCACCATTTACTTGTAAGTTTGGAGGATGTATATTCTTTCACACACAAATCCACACGGGGAACTTTACATTTGAAATATTTCTGATGTATTTGCTATCTTCTACATAATTTTATTAATTAAGAAAGGAAACAAATAACTGCCTACAACACAAGAGTTGTAATCTGCCATGGATTTAGGTTTTCATATGTATATATTTGTACTAGAAATATTTTCAATAATAATAATTCTTGCTTGACGCTGGTAGAATTTTTTTTTAAATGAGTTATGATGTGGTATTTGTTTTGCAGAGGGAGGTGACTATTAACTACAATAAACTACATGCAGATCCCAAACAAGGAAAATCCTTGGACATAAGTAAGCAGTAACATTGTGGCTGTGATGTGATTAATGTGTCGCTGAGTGGTAATCTGTTATCATTTTTTGGTCGTGTTATGAGAAAAGGGAAAATGGAACATATTATACCACTGGAAAGATCTGTTTAAAGAGAGACAAAAGCAGACAGCGGGAGAGGATTCTTGACAGCGTTTTGTCATGGCATGGAGGGGTGTCAGCACACGAACTGATACATGCAGTTGCAGATTGTGAAGAGGCATGATCACCCACGCCAGTCGGCAAGTCACTTTGTGTTGATGATGATGAGTGGTAAACAATTTATGTCTTGATTAAATAGCTGCCTGCTGTGTGTAAAGTTTAAAATTAAACAGGCGCTGTAGTGATGTAGCGGCAAGATGCTGGCCTATGGTCCCAGAAGTAATGGATTCAAATCTAAACAAAGCCGTACCCCAAAAAACAAATAGCTTTGGTTCCCAGTTTCAGCCAGACTTGTTATGGTATATAATGCCCTTGTTGATAGTTGATCAGATTTCATTCTTACAAATAAGATGTCCAAACCAGTTTATTTGTTGTCTTTTAATGAAAATAATGCATGATCTTACGACTGTTACATTTCTGAAATCCTTTGGGCATTTTGTTAGTCTCTGCCTTTCTGAAACATTTCATCTTGAGAGCTTTCTCTGTTGGCCTGTAGACAGTAGCCAAGTCTAGCATTCTGTTCTTGGTGATCACCAACATTTTGGATGTTTCTGCTATATAGTCATTCATCTTTTTGAGTCAAATGAAAGATTTATATTAGCTGCAGGAAACAACTTTGTTGTCTTCTCGGTTGTTTCTTTTTCCAAATTTACTTACACATGTGCGCATGCACAGTCTGGTCTGGTAGTCTGGTAGTCTTAGTTTCAGCTTCATAGCAAACGGGTCACCCCATCTTTGCTCCGCTCCTGTGCCAAAGAAAAACACACAGAATGTTTATCACAGTATTAGAATTGCAGTTCATCATTGATGGTAGTAGAAGTCGCCAACAGATCAGCAGTTGCCCACGCGATCAATGTTAATCACATACGGGCACCACAACACTGAACGACAGGCATCGCGCCATTTTCTGAATCTACAATTCACACCAACACGTTGGTCACAGTCAAAAAAACATTCCAAATGCAATCCGCAGCTCACAGGGTCAGGCCATGCATTCAACTCAGAAGCTGAGCGACGAAACTATATCCAGTCTACAAATGGAACAAAAATGCATCGGCCACCGTCCGGCAGAAGCAAAAAAAATTGCCTCTGTTTCGAACAGTGCCGCTGCCTAACGTCCATTTTGACCGGAAGTGCACAATTACATATATGGGAATAACTATGAAGTAATGCTAGATGCTCACCTGGGTAAAGGAAGGTCACAGATTCATTTTTTTTTTATAAATCACCGTAGCCTTTTGTTGATCCAGCCTACAGGTGGTGTTAGGGAAAGCCCTGTGAAGTAAAGGGTGCTGGTGGGATGTTAACCACATTTCCCACAGAGCGCCAGTTGATCTGCACAGCAAAAGTTTATCACCATTTACCCAGTTTAACCAAGAGCCAAGAGCAAGGAAAAGGATCATTTACTTTACTTTGAATCTATGTATATGTATGTGCATGTGTGTATATAGTCTTGTGAAAATATCCTCAGTTCTTAAGAAAGTCAAGCACAGAGTGGTGGAAAATATGAGTTCCAACACTGCAGATGCCCTTGGTCTCAGCAGAGCAATCTTATGTAATGGTATGTTGTATGTATTGTTATGTTATCATTTTTATATGTTACACATGCATCTTGCAGCCTGGGCAACTTATCACTATATCTGGGTAACCATGAGGGCCAACCCAGACAAGAAATGCTGAAGAAGGGGAATGTGTCTTCCATAGGGCTCACATGGTTGGGGGGTGGTGGTGTGTCTGCCATATACATATATTCACGGTGGATACTACCTGAAGAAAGGTTGAAAACCCCTGCTGTAGATTCTTACTCTAACTCAGTCTTCCCATTTGGTAAATCAGGGACCACAGTGTTCTGCACAACAAATGTGTAAGGGAGCTGTCATATTGTTGACAAAACCCCGCAGCTTTATAATGCATTCCTTGTTGTGAATCTAATATTTATAAATTATAATAAGTTTATCAAAATGACTGTTAAAAAGCTTTGGATAAATGGCAGGCATTTCAAAATAAGAAGGGTCTGCAGGTGTGATCTAATTAAGAACCCTATTATAGGGAAAACAAGAACAGACCCACTGCCTAACCAAAATCATGTCGTAAGAGTCGACTAACTGGGAGCTTCCTTCGGAGTCGGAGTGCATCTGCCTGAGAGGCAAGGAACCAACAGTCTGCATACAAATTAGTCAGATCTGACAAATGGATGCACACGCAACACTCAGGTTCTGGAACAGGACTGCAGTCCAGAAGTGGACGAACAACCAGCACTTTCCGCTAGAGTTTACTGCCGGTGAATGCAAAGAAGAAGAACCCCTGCTCTAATTTTTTCATGTCCATTATGATCTTGGAAATGTTAGTCATATTTGAAATTGTATTTTGTGTTATTGAATTGTTATAGTTAGCAGTTTAGATAACAGTATGTTCTGGATCTGTCGGCAGATGGTTTACTGAAGAAACTGGAAGAAATGGAGAGAACTGCTGAGATGTATGGGGGTTTGATCAACCAGACACAAAAACTTCTAAAAGCAGTTTTTGAGCTGTCCCAGTCACATAAAGGTATTAACCAGTAACAAGATTGATAAAAACCACACTTTAGTCCAACTGTTTTAATATGGAACAGATTCAAATGTTTTGCACAGTACACAACGGTAAATAGTATCAGCACCTTTTTATTTTAGACATCATTTCTTCTTCTTCTTCTTCGTTTCTTTACTCCTGGAATGCCTCTTATTATCAGAACATAACGAGATCTCTTGAGTGGGCCCTTCTGTTCACTTCATATAAAGTACTTTTCAGTGCGTCTGATATTTCTGCGGCCTATCTTCTGCGTGGTTGACCTCTGGGTCTGTTACCTTTGTAACGTTTGGTCGACCTCTGGTTCTGTTACCATTGTATCATTTTTTTCCCCCAGCACTATGATAATAGACATTTTGGCTGAGACCGGCACCTTTTTTGTGTGTGTGGCCTAGTTGTCTTTATTTGAACGGACAGTGAATAGAACATAGGAACAGGAAGTAACTACCAGGGAAATGGGCCGCCTCCAAAAGGGCACCAACAACATGAGAAGGGACAGTCACAAATATTCCAGCATTAAAGGGAAGAAACAAATGCCTGAATTCTATGAAAATACAGAGAATGAAGTTGTTTGGCCAGTCAGTGGGAATACAGCTAGACCTTGTTGAAACCCAACAATTAATTAACAGTCTATACATCAGTGTTTTCTTTGCTGTAATAATAAACACAACGACTTAGCGTGAGTTGGTGGGGGCCTATGCTCCATTGGGGGATAGAAAGGCAGAAGAAGAATAATAATAAACACACACATTAATTAAATTGTTTCTTGAGAAAGGCTGAAATCTAGTTGATGTATCCGGTTGTCATGTTATAAGAGGTAGTATGCATATTTATGTGTGGGTGGGCAGGGCATATACATGGTATTTCAGATAAAAAGTTTTTTATTTACATATAATCTATGTCTTTGTTCATCATCATCATCCTTTCATGCTGTTATACACATATGTATGTCCTCCATTCTGCCCAATCCTTCTGGTACCATGCATTTAATCCAGTCCACCACCTTTGGTCTCCCTCAACAACATCCTCCTTACCATTTGTTTCCCATTTCACTATCTATTTGTATCTTTGTTCTTCTTCTTTTGTCAAAATCTGCTTCTGCCGCTAGGCGTCGCAGTCTATCAGATGATCGGCAACCGAGCCAGGGCGCGCTCAGTCGCTTCATATGCCGTGATGTTATGAAGCCTCAAGTTGTCCGTGACTCCTTCAATCCATCTTCTTCTTGGTCTTCCCCTGCCTCTTGTTGTTTCGATTTTCATGTTGTATGCTCTTGATGCTGGCATCGTTGGTTCCATTCTCATTAGGTGACCAAACCATTTCATTCTTTGCTTCTCAATAAATTTAACGATGGGTATGGTTCCAATAGTTCTTGTAATCACATCGTTTCTCACTCGATCTCTTCTGGTTTTATTCGCAGCCATTCTCAAACATCTCATTTCACAGGTGGTTAGTCTTCTCTCATGTTCTTTTGTTAATGTCCAAGTCTGACATTGATAACCTAATGTCGGTATAAAGATTGTATTTATAATTTGTCTTTTTATCTCAGCTGGGACAGCAGGGTGTTTTAAAATTGGGGCAAGCTGGTATGCGACATTGTTGGCTTGTTGGATTCTTGCTTCAATCTCTCTGTCTTTTTTACCATTGGATGTAAAGATACTTCCCAGGTATTTAAATTCTTGCACTTGTTTTAGGCTGTGATCTAGAATCTTTATGTCGATGGTCTGTTGCTCTCTACTTATGCTCATGACTTCTGTCTTTTCAGTATTGATCTTCATATGATGCTTGAGGCAACTGTCGTGTAGTAGGTTCATGTGGTCTTGCAGCTGTATCTTTGTTACCTGTATTAAAAGATACAGTCAGATATATTGTTGATCAATCCTGCAGCATTTGGTGATGTCTTTGTTGATATCGGCGTGAGAGAACCCCAGCCTAGTGCCAGTGAAGCGTTCTCCAAGTTTGGGGAAGCCCACCGCAGCATGGAGAAGTTTGCCATCAGGATGCTGAAGACAGTCAAGCCGATGATCAGTGACCTCAACACGTTCTTACACAAGGCTGTTCCTGACACCCGCCTGACAGTCAAAAAGTATTTGGATGCCAAGTTTGAGTACCTGGTGAGTCTGTACTTTGTATGCTGCAGAGTTTAGAGTTACATCATGCAGTTGACACACTGGGTGTGACTGGTGTCCTGTTTATATAGCAATGTGGGGACCAGACTGGCTTCTCTTGAGCTATAGCATGTGCCAAAATTCAGAAAGGACAAGATTTGAAATTATTTGAGGACTTTGGATGGATTGTTTCCTGAAGATTCCATGTCCCTTTATGATCTCTGAGTAAAATATTGGACCCCGCCCTGAACAGTGACAACATAGTATATCTGATTCTGAAATGCACACATCTGGACCATGGTTAGAGCCATGGAGTTGATACACTGTACTGAGTTCTAGTGTGATCAACTGTCAGAGTACTGTGGGAGATATCTGATTTTCTTGACTGTACCCTGACAGGCCAAGCCAAAAATTTGTTATTTCATTAGTTTCATTAGTAAAGGAATCTATCTGTTGTATTAACTGTTGTCAGTGTCTTCTTCCTTCATGTCATCTACTGCTTATGCTGTAAAACATTACGGGGAGGAGTTGGAGCTTCCTGTCCTTTGCTAGATGCGTGGCTCTTTTACTCACACCACCTTTATGGTGCTTAAAACACATACAGCTGCATCGCCAGGCAAGTGTGCTAACTACTGTCGTATCACTGTTCCCTTGATAAAACATGATATGTATGTTTACTGCAGTGTTTGTAAACATAGTGGCTGACTTTGGTGTATGTTTTGCAGTCATACTGTTTGAAGGTGAAGGAGATGGATGATGAAGAGTACAGTTACGCCTCTCTGCAGGAGCCGTTGTACCGGGTTGAGACAGGCAATTATGAGTACAGGTAATCACATCTGTTGCTTTCTGAATCTGCTGGTTTTTTTTAACATATTATAAGATTGCTGCTGTGGTTGTAAAGTGGTTAGTGTATTTGATTCCAAGTAGTATGATCAGGGGCAGTTGCGGTGGGGTAGAGCTCAGACACTCGCTGGCCCAAAGTCTTCGATTCAAACCTGCTTAGTGGCTGATTAAAAAAAAAATTTTTTAAACAATACCTTGGCTCCCAGGTTCACCCAGCCTAAAATGGATACCATCATGGAAAGTACAGGCGGCCAGCGCAATGTTTCATCGTGGATTTAATCAAAGAAGACAAACAGATTAGACAGTTTATTGCCTGGCATATTTTGCGCTATTGACAGATGCATACTACAGTAACAGTTGATTAAAATGAAGCAACTGCGGGATATTGTGGGGATGGAGAATGCTAAAGAAAGACTTTCCTTGAATATTAGTAAAATGGAAGTAATGGTTATATCAAAGAAGCAGATAACACCACGTTGTGATATCTCAGTTTAAAGGAAAAAGTCTTAACCACGTCAATAGATTCAAATATCTGGAAACAGTCAGTTCATCAGATGGAAAATGTGTGAGAGAGATTAAAAGCAGAACAGGTCAAGCAAAGGCAGCACTCCAGAAAATGACAAATATCTTATCCAATAATTCACCTTTATTTAATATCAGAAAGAGAGTGCTAAAATGTCAAGTAGAGCCTGTTCTGCTGTATGGCAGTGAATCTTGAAATGTCAGTGAACAAATGAAGCAGAATTTGGAAGCAAGAGATGTGGTTTCTGGGACAAATGTTACGAATACCTTGGACAGCCAGAGTAACTAACAACGATTTGAAAAAAGCTAATGAAAGTAGATCTCTATATACAACAATAAGAAGGAGACAAACACTGTTCTTTGGCCATTTAATGAGAAGAGAGGCATTGGAAAACATCGTGACAACTGGAAAGATCAGTGGAAAGAGGGGTAGAGGCAGACTAAGGGAGATGGTGCTGGATGGGCTGAAACGATGGCATGGGGGGATATCAGGCAGCCAGAGATGGTGATCTGTGGAGACGCATGAGCACCTTGGCCAATAGGCAGGGCACATGATGGTAATGATGATAAATACATTTTGCACGGATAAAACAGTTCAGCCATAAATCCTATATCTGGTCTCCACAGACTGGTATTGAGATGTCGTCAGGATGCCAGAACCAGGTTTGCCAAAATGAGATCTGATGTATTGGTTAAGATGGAGCTGCTGGACCAAAAACACGGTAAACACGTTGTGATGATGTATTCTTTGTTGAGATGTCTCCAAGATAGAGCTGGTAGAGCATCCATATACCATGGTAGCTGGTGCATTTGACAGGATTCATGTTGCCCAACTTCTTGTGACCTACCCAGTTTTCACGCTGACCCAGTTGGCAGTTGATTGGTTGCTGCCAATCGCTTTGGGTGGTGGGCTAGTTTATAATAAAGCACATATGGTGAAGGCCAACCGTGATCAAGTGGACAGTACAGAGAAGCTATCCAAAGCTTGTGAGATTGATTCAGCATGGAGTGGTGTGGGAGGGTGGTTGTCACAGTGTTCCATAATGCTATATTGTAGCCCATAATGCTATATTGTAGCCCATAATGCTATATTGTAGCCCATAATGCTATATTGTAGCCCGTAATGCTATATTGTAGCCCATAATGCTATATTGTAGCCCATAATGCTATATTGTAGCCCATAATGCTATATTTAAGTTATTTTTATTGTCCCAAAATGAGACACGGTTTTTGTGTGTGTTTTTAATACTTTGTAACCATCGTCGGGGGGGGGGGGTTGGGAGGGGGGGGGGGGGGGGGGGGGGGGGGGGGGGGGGGTCCCAAAAATGAGACACGGTTTTGGGTGGGGGGGGGGGGGTTAACCATCGTCGGGGGGGGGGGGGGGGGGGGGGGTCGCCTTAATATAACCTTACAGTTGAACAGGGTTTCTGAGACTTGGGTCTGGGGGATTCTTATCTGAATGGTGGCACTTTGTGTCACCAGGTGTTAACCGCCCATTATGTTGTCCTAGTGAGGTTAAATGTCACTTAGTCATATTGCAAGTCCTCAAAGCCACTGATTCATTACTTAAGTAACAACTTCTTAGAATGGCATGAGTGCAAGTAACAAGTGCTGGGTAACTGGAAGAGTTGCAGATGAGAGTTGCTGAAAGTGCTGGGTACTGAAAGAGTTGCAGACGAGAGTTGCTGAAAGTGCTGGGTACCGAAAGAGTAGCAAATTAGAGTTGCCGAAAGTGCTGGCTACTGAAGGAGTTGCAGACAAGGTTTGAGGTTTGAACAACAGATCAACATCATGACACACGGGTAGTAACCCATAAGTGCTCCATTCTTTTTCTAACTCAAGTCTTGAGTCCAAAGAAGCTCAGCACAGTGCACATACTCTGTAGCACCGGTGAGGGTCCTGAAATACTTTGGGTATATTTTAAACTCCAAATGTTGTCCGGGTAGAGCCGTTAGGCTACTCTTTTCAATTTCCAACTGCCTAGGGATTTTTTACGTGCACAATAATGCACACGGGTGTCTAACCTCACTACCCAAGACTAGAGGGAATTACTAGAAGTCCAAGTCCACGTGAAAAAAATCCCAACCCTTACCGGGAATGAACCCGGAATCTCTAGCACTCAAGGCGGACACTATGCGTTGAGACCATGCAGCTCCCCTGCAGACGAGTGTTGCTGAAACACATGTGGTGGTGCACCAGACCAGGGCTGATGCTGGTGAAGACTAGCTACACTGTTCCTATTCATCCTAGTCACAAGTTCATAACCTGGGGACTAGCCAACATAGATAGGATCCACATTTCCTTCGAGGTCATAGTGCATTTGCTTCGGAGGCAAGGAACTAACAGTCTGCACACAATAAGCCACATTTGTCAAATGGATGTGCTGGCAATACTCACATCCTGGAACAAGGCCAACACCTGAGACAACAAATCACGTCCTTCAAGACTGTCCCAAATACAACATATCAAAGCAGAACTTCTGGCCAAGAGAAACACAGGTTGAAGCCACATTTTATGGGCCACTTAGTGAATTACAATAGACAGTGAAAATCATACATAGACAACATTGCAGATATAGATAATCTATTTTAAGCGAACGAAAGAAGAAAAAAAAAAGACTTTATCATTTTTCATTAGTTGAAGTAATAACTTCTAAGGATTGAACAAGTTAAGAATAAAGCTTGCATGGCCCAGAAAGAGCTAATCAACATTGTTTGGATTCACTTTGTTCTCAGTGCAAGATATAGTCTTCCAGCTGCAGAAGTTTGTGACTGCCATGGCCAAGTACCACACAGACTGTCATGATGTGATGAAGGATGCTGTTGTCTTCCCCATCGAGGTGGACCTCTCACGAGGCACATTCACCTATGACACAGCCAACAGCTTCGACGATGGTGGCGATGATGATGATGAGGAGGAGGAGCAGGAAGAAGAAGAGGAAGAGGCAAATGAAGGTGATGAGGTGAATAGACAAGATGGTGTTCAGACTCAAACGCAAGGTGGTGTTTTAACTGGAAACTTACTAGATTGAAAGCCCTTGGTGAATGTTTTCCAACCAAAGGATGGGCTTAGGGTTATGGGATATTAATTGAATGAAAATTTTATGAGCTATTTTCTCTTTATTTATATGTTACCTTTATGTTGGTAAACCCTCTTCCCTTTTGTTGGTAAACCCTCTTCCCTTTCTCTGAGAACTATGCCTTCTGTTTCTGTTTTTTTTTAAATAAGCCACTGCAATATTTAACTCTTTGAGTTTCAAGGAACACATCATGTTCATAGGTTCCTATCTAGAACCCAGTAAACACAGGATTATGCGAAACCCCTGAGACTGAAAGAGTTAATATGGTCATAGTATTTAAATGTTAGACACAATGCTAATGCTTTTTATTAGCTGTTTTTTTTCTTCAGTTTTCAGATTTTTTAGAAGTTCACTATGTTTTTCTTATTCTGTAATATAAGAATTTTCTATAGCATTTAAGTTTAAAAAGTTGAATCTTCTTCAACTTCTTCTTTAATAATCGTCCATAAAGTGATTTCTTTAAAACATTCTGTATGTTGTCATAAGAAATAAAAGTGTTCTCAGCATTATTAACTCAGCTAGTTTGCTGATGTCGTGCCATAAGCTTTTACGGCTGTATAAATAAACATACATATGTTATATTCTAGACAAACCATACAAATATTACAGTCATGTGCCTTAAAAGACCAAATTAGTGCCTTATGAGTAGGGTGAGCCTGTCACCTCTATGACAGTGGGCTGTTGCCTAGTTCCTTCTACCACAAATATACTGAACAGATGATCTGATTTAAATATTAATGCTGTTGTAAATGTGACTATATTCTTGTTAATATCAGATGCCTACATTCTTGTTTATGTTATGTTAACATGTACTTTTACTTGATTTTATACACAGCCATTCCAGTATCAGTATATTTTTTACATTGCATTTATGTATGGGGGAATGTTTCTTTCTGTGTTTAAACATCTGATTGCCAGTTCTTCTTGCCATTTACTGCCATATCAACATAGTGGCTAACAGGGATTTTTTCATAGCAAAAAAAAAAAAAAGATTAAAGTTATCATCAACATCATCATCATGCACGCACAAAGGTGTAGGTACTCACTATAGTGCATATTACAGTAGTACTGAAAAAGGGTTCTAGTAATCATTGCAAAGTTTACACACACACATACATATATATATATATATATATATATATATATATATATATATATAGAATATATACTATATATCTATATATATTATATTATATATATATATTATATATATTATAGTACAAGTTGTCGGTACTTACCACAGTGCAAATAACAGTAGTACTGGAAGAAAATGATGGTGGCCTGTGAGTCAATGTGCAAAGACAGTAGGTCGATGTTTAGTACTAAGAAGTCAGGACCGATTTCCTTCAAGTGGTTCAGTTGTATTATGGTGTTGGCCCCATATTTCATTACAACAATGAACACTTTGTGGATGATGTAGTAATTTAGTAGCTCTGCACTGACTCACAAGCTATGTAACCAGTAAAGGACATTTTGATCGTGCTGCACCGACTCACAAGCCATGTAACCAGTAAAGGACATCGATGGTGCTGCACCGACTCACAAGCCATGTAACCAGTAAAGGACATTTGATGGTGCTGCACCGACTCACAAGCCATGTAACCAGTAAAGGACATTGATGGTGCTGCACCGACTCACAAGCCATGTAACCAGTAAAGGACATTAGATGGTGCTGCACCGACTCACAAGCTATGTAACCAGTAAAGGACATTTGATGGTGCTGCACTGACTCACAAGCTATGTAACCAGTAAAGGACATTTGATCGTGCTGCACCGACTCACAAGCCATGTAACCAGTAAAGGACATTTGATGGTGCTGCACCGACTTACAAGTCATGTAACCAGTAAAGGACATTTATGGTGCTGCACCGACTCACAAGCCATGTAACCAGTAAAGGACATTTGATGGTGCTGCACTGACTCACAAGCCATGTAACCAGTAAAGGACATTTGATGGTGCTGCACTGACTCACAAGCCATGTAACCAGTAAAGGACATTGATGGTGCTGCACCGACTCACAAGCTATGTAACCAGTAAAGGACATTGATGGTGCTGCACCGACTCACAAGCCATGTAACCAGTTAAGAACATTGATGGTGCTGCACTGACTCACAGGCCATGTAACCAGTAAAGGACATTTGATGGTCCTGCACCGACTCACAAGCCATGTAACCAGTAAAGGACATTTGTCCATGCCTCCACCATGTTGAGTATATGGATGCTATTCCATAGGTCTGGAGACTGATCACTAGTGGATCATGCGGTCAGTATCGCTCTGGCCGATTTGACCTCCCTCCCCAAAACACTTTAGGCTAAGTCAACTTGGACATCCAGCTCAGTCAAAATAAAAAAATAAAAAAATTCCGAGGTCAAGAAGGATATGAATTTCACACACACACATGCACGTACGCACACATATACGTGTGTATGTGTGAAGTTGCTGATTGTGGAGAGACTTTAGACATTATCACCCATACCATGACAAGGCACAAGATAATGATTTATGCCTTTTTTTTTTTTTAAGTCTCCTGGGTTCAGACATTCCATATATATATATATATATATATATATATATATATATATATATATATATATATATATATATATATATATATATATATATATATATATATATATATATATATATATATATATATAATGAGAAAATTGTATGCATTGAATTGTATGTGCAATAAATGAGAGAGAACTGGAAATATTCAAGGTTTCTTGCGCAGTATGATTATGTGTAGTTGTGTTTTAGTTAAAACATACTTTTAGTCGTTTTGTTTCTTTAATCAAGTGGGAAAGAAATCATACAAATGAGTACTTCATGGTTACTTGGAAAAAAAAGTACCAGAAATGCTAGTTAACTAAAATGTAGCATATCAATGATTGTTTTACACACAAAAACACAACTCTCTCTAAGTCCGGCTGTCGTCCTGACCTCATAGGGACTGTCCCAGTACATTACAACTGGATATAAAACCTGGTCAAGGACACTTGAATCGTACCATTACTATGTTATTTTGACATCTGGGGAATGCAGTACCAGCACTATATACTTGCTGTTGACTTATGGTACTTGAGAGGTAGGTAGGTAGGTTGTGTTTATAGCAGTTAGGTAATGTTTGTGAAAGGTCCTGGTTTTAGATCCATTTCTGGACTTTGTGCCAGGACTTGAGTTTTGTGTGCGCATCCGTTTCACAGTACTGGCTTATTTGTGTGCAGTCTGTTGTCTTCTTGGCTGTCATGCAGATGCACTCTAAAGGAATGTCGATCCTAACTCTAGGATGACTGTGGCCAATTTGAATCTTTTGTTATCATCAAGTAGGATATTGCCATTTGGTGGAACTCTTAATAGGTGCAGATTTAAACCAGCATTTGTAATTTAATAGATGAGCTATGGACTTATCATCTTGCAGGCAAGATTTCGGTGGTTATCACTGCACGTTTTCGGGGAGGTGTGGGGTGAGTGAGCTGACGAGGACTAGAGATTCTCTGGACCCTGCAACTCTTGGGGCCACAAGCTCTGAGATGCCCTGCCAGCTCGGTTAGGGCCAGTATAGGCCATTATTCATGGTTCATGATGTGGACGTGTGGCAGGAGACTTGCATGAGGTTTTGGAAAAGCAGCTGTCACTGAGCGTGCCAGCCATCACTGAGTGTCCAGCCGTCACTGAGTGTGCTGGTACTTTAGTGGACACAGCACAACAGCCTTAACTTTGCCTCATGCTTGTGACCAATGTCAGCACACTACACTGATAAGTGATTTGCACAAGCTGTCTTGTCTGACTTTTTCTAAAATATTCAAATGCTTATGATGAGGTAAAGTTGATGCAACCATGTAAACAATTTTACCTGAAGGAATATTTGAACCCAGGACTACAAGTCCAGCAAAACGCTCAGTGATTTACTACACAACTACAGCTCCTGGAAGCTAGTTTAACAATACTTCTAGACCTGCCATCCCTAGCTTGCAACCCGGGGAAAAAAAGCAGAAGAATTTATCTAGAAATAAACTGAGACAACAATAAACTGGTGGCATCCTGATTGCATTTATTCAAAAGATGTCTATCTGAAGGGGTTCCCCAGTGTGAAGAGTTGAGGGTCAAGGGCCAATTAAGCGGGGGAAGCATGTACAGGTAAGCTTGTAATTTACAGTGTACGACTAAACGATTAGAAGAAGAAACTCGTGGAATGGGAAGAGAGGATTGAATGCGAGGAAGTATAAATGATCAGTTGGTGTTTTGACAGCAAGAGAGAAAGATCGAGTTGAGTGGGAAGAGCGCCTGCCGTGAATCATGAGAGTTGACAGAGGGATCAAGAATCTGGCAAGCAGTAAAAATGTTGGACCGGCTGCTAAATGATTGAGTGGCAAGAATGCTTGTTACACTGTACATCAGGGACTTCAAGGTAATTTGAACATGGTTAGTGATGTAGATTGGAGGTGGTAGCAGTTGTAACTGAACTAGTAGAAAGAGTGATGACCAAGGACAGTGTAAAACCGACGTATGATGGTTGGAACACCAATAAAGAGTGAATCAAAACATAATCTGTCATCACCTCGTGTGTTTGCTAGGAACCTAACTTGTGCTGCTGGTCAAGTATTGAGCCAAGGTGACACACCGCAGTCTGTTTGATTGTTCTGTGGGTGTAAAAAAGTTGAAGATCACGGCAACAGATTGTCTGTTTGACAGGCTGAACTCTCTGCCAGAAAGACCCTGTATTTTCCTAGGATGATGGTGAATTAGCAGTTCCACATCTTGCACACTTTATATGATAACTTTAGCAGATGTTCAAAATCGGTGTGTTATTGTCAAAGCAGAACGGAATTGAGTCGGATTCTTCATTTGGTAAACAACAAATCTAGTCAGTTTTAAATCATAAGAATTGTAGACTGTTGCATTCTAACAATAGGAACATACTGTTCCTTAAAGAAAGAAGTGTTGTTTTAAAATCTGTTTACATATATGTTAATAATAAAATTAATATCTACTGAATCTGCTGCAGCTAATCATTCAGACAAACAAAAAAGGTTATTAATTGTTTTAATAGATTTATACACAGCAGTCCTACTTCAAATTTTTAAATAACCAGCTGTGTCTTTAAAACAAAAAGTAAAAGTGGAAAACTGAAACAAAATAAAAATAAAGCCAAACTGACAATACTGAAGCTAATCAAGTGAAGCCTGCGTAAACACACAGAAGCAAAATATAATGTGTAAGTCATTGTTACAGATGTATAATATTATATCAGAAATACTATAAAGTTATATCAGACACTATAATATAATATCATAGACACTATAACATTATATCAGACACTGAAATTATATCAGACACTAACTATACAATTACATCAAGGACACTTCGCCGTTCATGTGAGAACATAACTGCACTGTGCCCATTACAGCATGGCTGTGATATTTGTGCCTTATGGCCGGCACATACAACATCTTCAGGTATTTGTTTCCCGGTCAGCTTTCTTGGTTATGAGACACTGTAACAATATATCAGAGACACTAACAATATATCAGAGACAGTATAACACTGTACCAGAGGCAGTATAACACTGTACCAGAGGCAGTATAACTGTACCAGATGCAGTATAACACTGTACCAGAGGCAGTATAACATTGTACCAGGGGAAGTATAACACTGTACCAGAGGCAATATAACTGTACCAGATGCAGTATAGCACTGTACCAGAGGCAGTATAACACTGTACCAGAGGCAGTATAACTGTACCAGATGCAGTATAACACTGTACCAGAGGCAGTATAACACTGTACCAGAGGCAGTATAACACTGTACCAGGGGCAGTATAACATTTTACCAGACGCAGTATAACACTGTACCAGAGGCAGTATAACACTGTACTAGATGCAGTATATATCAGATATGGTATAACACTATTTTAGACATGAAATATAAGCTACAGTATAACATTTATTGAAAGCTGAACCACCCAGAGCAGTGGTTTTCAACCTTTTTCAGATGAGGTCCTTCTTGATCATACAGCAAGACCGCCACCACCCCCCCCCCCCCCCAAGGGTGATTAAAAAATGGGGAGGCAGATGTACAAACAGCTCACGAAAATAAAAATGTACGTTTTGTTTGTTTTATAAAATGTCAACAATAATTTATTTAAAATAAAAAAATAAAAAAGTTAGTAAAACAGATTATTACAACTACAATGGCACCCATTTTAAAAATTGCTTGACAACCTCTGAAGTCTTGTTGTGCTCCCACCCCCAGTTTGGAAAAAAAAAAACCCACTGAATTATCTTCTCCTGTATACAATTTCAAAGTAAAAACATGAATTTTGTTGAAAAGCTTTTATTTTGTTAGGGTTAAATTACATTTGAGTTAAGAACTGACATCAGAGCACTTGGGTCATTCCCATAAGCTGTTAGGTCATTCCCACAAGCACTTGGGTAATTTCCCATTAGCACTTGGTACCCATATTTTTACATTAGTTGTATATTCAAAGCAATGCTCCGTAATTGCAAATCTGAAATGTTTCGAACCTTGCTGCAGTAGACAGGTTAACAAAAGCCTATGCCACTCTGGCAGCGAGCACACAGTGGGAAGGCACAGATAGATCATCATGGTCTGAAGAGAGTGGGGCAGCGAGCAGCGAATCAGGGATCTGGTTGATGCTCAACACGCAGGGGACAGACATACACTCAGACTGTTACTGGTACTATCGAAACTGGAACTCTGAGCACGCTGTTGAAGATGGTGAGGGAGCACTTATGGGAATGTGCTAGGTGCTCTGCTGTCAGTTCTAACCGCATAATTCAAGCTATGCCATCAGTAACTAGAGCCAGGGTCTCCCATGTCAAGGCAGGGGCAGAGCAAAAAGAGCTGAAGTAGGGGCAGAGCAAAGAGAGCTGAAGTAGGGGCAGAGCAAAGAGAGCTGAGGTAGAGGCAGAGCAAAGAGCTGAGGTAGGGGCAGAGCAAAGAGAGCTGAGGTAGGGGCAGAGCAAAGAGAGCTGAGGTAGGGGCAGAGCAAAGAGAGCTGAGGTAGGGGCAGAGCAAAGAGAGCTGAGGTAGGGGCAGAGCAAAGAGAGCTGAGGTAGGGACAGAGCAAAGAGAGCTGAGGCAGGGGTAGAGCAAAGACAGCTGAGGTAGGGGCAGAGTAAAGACAGCTGAGGTAGGGGCAGAGCAAAGAGAGTCGAGGTAGGGGCAGAGCAAAGAGAGCTGAGGTAGGGGCAGAGCAAAGAGAGCCGAGGTAGGGCAGAGCAAAGAGAGCCGAGGTATGGGGCAGAGCAAAGATAGCTGAGGTAGGGGCAGAGCAATGAGCTAAGCCACAGGTTTAGACAAAACAGTGAATCATAACTCACTTTATGATAAACTAGATTTAACAGAATATGGTAAATAAATTATAATGTGTTAATTAGCACACGCAGATGCAGAAGAAAGAAACAGAGACAAGAGTCATGCTAGGCAACACAAACATTGAAAGGGTCTTATAAATGTTATGTTGCCAAGATTGTATGGAGCTGAAACAAGGTAACTTACTAGCAATTACAAATGAACTACGAACATTCATTAACTGGTGCATGATGCATGACCTATGAGTCTGTTACAAATGCAACATGTCGGGCTGTACTTCTTTACATAAATTTAAAAAGGAAAAAAAAAAAACATTTACTTTTTCCACCTCCATTTTCATGCCAGATGTATGCTCTATTTATTTGAACAACTTCTTTTCTTCTTTGCAATGAAAACCCAGCCACTTTTTTCCCCCCAAAATCTAACCCTACAAATCCAAATGTGGTGATAAAAGAGCTTGAAAAATGGCAGGCATGTACAAAATCCAACTTGAACCGTTCAACCTGTCCCTTCGTTGGCAACGAACATCAAAATGTTAGCAAAGGTAGGAAAACATATTTTTTTTTAAAAACAACATTAGTTTGACAACAGAAAAATGACATCCAAAAACAACACAATATAGATAACCAAAATTGTGACTTTTGTTTGTCAAGCTGCCTATTCATAATTTAAAATAATTTGCTTCTGTATATAATGGACAGATTGTGTCCTGTTCAGTTCAGATTATTTATCCCTGACATATCAAGCTCTCTTTAAAAACCTGATGAGGTTATAACAAGTAAATAATTTCAGCACTGATTAATGAGCCTTCTTGATGCAATGCTCTTTTCTGGTTAGTGCCATCTGCAAAATGAAAGTCTGACTAAATTTACAAATAAGTCACTTGTTGACATAATCAAAATAAACTAAATATTTAAAAAATATTACTAAAAATTACATTTTTGCTAGGGAAAAAAAAGGGAAAGGGGGGGGGGGGGGGGGGGGACTAAATATTTGTTAAATATATTCAAACAAAATAAATTTAGTTTATTTTTCTAAGACTGTAGAGGCCATCACTTCTAGGCACATATGAATGAGCAGTCAATAAATGTATGTCCACTTACTCTATATCAGTCATGGCCAGAAAAACATGGTCGTTATCATAAGAAGATAAACAACTGCATAACATACTTATAAAACAAGTATACAGCACACTTCTAGAACAAGCTGCACACTTCTATGCATCCTTCTTGTCATTCATGTTACTGTCTATGACTTCTGCTGCACACCGGCGGGGGAACCATCCTCGAACATGTCTTGCACCTAAACAAAGGATAGATAGTTCACGACAATGAAACTGAATTATAAGTATTGTTTCAACTGTTTTGAGTTTTGTGCCTACAATTATCAATAATGAATATGATTTTGTAATATAGTATAGATTTAACATCACTCCAAAAAAGCACTCTATGACACAATCTGCATACCAACCCTGTGTTACTAATGCCAGACTTAGACATTGACAGAAAAAGAAAAAAAGACAATTGAAATGGATTCCTATGAAGGGCTCTCAAAAAAAAATATAAGAGATAAGCTCCTGTACTTTTCATTTTTATGAAATTCCCAAAAACAAAAAGTCCCTAGAAAAACAATGATTTTGCTTGTCTCATAAAAATTGCATAAAATCAATTTATCATCCAAAACGGCAACAGTGCTATACAGTAAAAGGGGAGACATCACTAAGAATTAATGCAGCATAGAATCAAAGGATTACATCTCTTGGGGGTCTGTAAATTAAGTATAATGTGACACTTACTTGACCCTTGAACTGGCAGCATAGTAAACAATGCAGCAAACAGGGAAAATATGACATAAGAATTTCTATTACATAAAGGTATTTAAAAAAAAAAAAAAAAAACCTCTTTAGAGGCGATTTTAGTAAAATTTGTCATTCCCTGTTACTGTGAGCGTTTGCGCAGACGAGATTCAATTGATTTCGTTAGCAGGACACCCTGTAAACATGTCTATAAAACAAGTTGGAAAAATAGGCTTTTATGGGGAAATGGCATCTCCCAGATGTGTTGGTTTTGTGGCTGCTTGGGGTGTAGGATTAGGAACTCTCTCTCTCCCTTCTTTAAGTGATAAAGGTAGATAAGATTAAATATTCTTCATTCTGAGAAATGATGCACTTGCATAAGATATCTACACTTTTCTTTAATACATTTCCCATCTAATGTTATCAGGATAACTTAGTACTGAAATGGAGACTTATTTAGGTTTACTCTACTCGGTTTTATTTTTGAGGATATTCTGCCTTTGGAAAAAATGCTTTTCAATTGTTAACCTGATTTTTATTTTGACTTTTTTTGCTCCAATTATTCCACCATCTCTTGTAGCTGATTTATATTTCCAGTGATCACTTTATAGGAGCAACTGACAGAGTGGTTAATGACACTAAGCTCTTATTTTGGAGACCCAGGTTCAAATCCCCTGTAGGATGATAAGATTTTTCTGTTGAGGGCAAAGATAAAATCCTAACCTGCACAGTACATGGTGACTGCTCTAACCATGCGGCCCTAAATCCTCAGGCTCCAGAAACACCCTCCACCTCATATACGTCCTACACTACCCTCAAAGTGATGCACACAGCCAGTAAAGACGAACAGGTTATAACATTAACATACCACAGTTTGTTTACATGTTGCCCACTGGCTAATATTTCTGGTAAATCTTATATGGAACGTATTCAATGTACAAACTAAACAGATCAAGTAGTAACAATTTTTTTTATTTTCCTAATGATCTTCTTAAATGTTGTCTCTAGTTTGAACTTCACTGTTTGTTGTAATTCAATCAGCGACCTGTACATTTTTGCTTGTTTTTCTCTTGGCCAAAAGTTTTGTTCTGATATGTTGCATTTGGTACAGACTTATATTTTGAATGATTAGTTATTGTATATTTCATATTTTAACATATTTTTTTAATGTGTAAAAAAATCTCACCACTGGGAACTTAAAAAAGGCTGTAAGGAATAAGTAAAATGATTTAAAAAAAATAATAAAAAAAGCACAAAATGCTACACACACAAGGAACTGATTTTGTGTGTGTAAAAACTTAATCTCCAGCGTGTGTTAAACACTATGTAAAATGTTGAGTTTAATCTGAAATACACATCTGTTTACCTGTAGTTTTACTATCTGTATCTGTAGGAATCTTGTACCCATACAACCAGCGCCTGTGGGTGTAAAAATGACCATTCTTACAAATGATATTATGATAAGAGCTATTGAAAAGGTTCAGTGACCTCATGATTATCATGTGCCCTGCCAACTGGCGTAGGCGCTTATGCGTCTCCACAGATCACGAGTTGCCTGCAACAGCACTCTTGTCTTGATGATATTCCCCCCCCCTCCCAAGCCATCATTACAGCCCATCCACCATCACCCCTCTTGGTCTGCTTCTACCCCTTTTCCCACTGATCTTTCCAGTTATCACAATGTTCTACAATGTCTCTCTTCCTATTACCTGGCCAAAGAACAGAGTTTGTCTCTTTTATTTTGTTCTATATAGAGATCTACTTTCATTAGCCTTTTTCAAATAACTGTTGTTAGTTACTCTGGCCGCTCAAGGTATTAGTAACATTTGAATTTAGCGCCGAGAAACTCTAATTTCTCTCAAAGTTATCTAACTGGAAGTTCAAACACTTCATCTAGCAGTCCTGCAATTGTAACAAGTATTTTAGGATGGCCTTTTTTGGAATTGTGTACAGCTCAGTGATCATGCTCAACAAAAAGTAGCCTCCTGGCTCAAATAGGACCCCTCAACAGAAAATTGCCTTCTGGCTCAAATGTGACCTTTCAACATAATGTCCTCCTGGCTCAAATAGACCCAACACAATGTATCCTCCTGGCTCAGATGGGATCCCTCAACATAATGTATCCCATTGGCTTAAATCTCAAATAGGACCCCTCAACATAATGTATCCCATTGGCTCAAATCTCAAATAGGACCCCTCAACATAATGTATCCCATTGGCTTAAATCTCAAATAGGACCCCTAAACATAATGTATCCCATTGGCTCAAATCTCAAAAAGGACCCCTCAACATAAATTATCCCATTGGCTCAAATGTCCATTAGGACCTCTCAACATAATATATCAAATTGGCTCAAATCTCAAACAGGACTGCTCAACACAATGTATTCTCCTAACTCAAATCTCAAATGGGGCCCTTCAATATAATGTATACACTTGGCTCAAATGGGATCCCTCAACATAAAGTATCCTCTTGGCTCAGATGGGACCCTCAACATAATGTATCTTCTTGGCTGGCTCAAATAGGATCCACAACATAAAGTATCCTATTGACTCAAATGGGACCTCTCAACATAATGTATCCTCCTGACTAAAATGGGACCCCTCAACATATTGTGAATCCTCTGTGACTCAAATTGAGCTTAATCCACATCTGTTTACCTGTAGTTTTACTATCTGTATCTGTAGGAATCTTGTACCCATACAACCAGCGCCTGTGGGTGTAAAAACTGAATCTCCAGCGTGTGTTAAACTTTGTAACATGTTGAGCTTAATCTGAAATACAACATAAAAACCTGTAGTTTTCCTATCTGACTCAGGAATTGTACCCCTCAACAGCGCCTGTGGGTGTATGAGCATTCTTACAAATGATATTAAATAGGACCCTCAACATAATGTATGACCTCACGAGTGCCCTCAAATAGGGATGCGTCTCCACACATATTGTATCTCTTGATGACTCAAATCAGGACCCATCCACCATCAATGTACCCCTTTTCCCACTGACTTTCAAATCACACCCCTCAACAATGTGTATCCTCCCATTACTCAAATGGGTCTCTTTTATTTTGTTCTATATAGAGATCTACTTTCATTGACTTTTTCAAATGTTAGGGCCCTCAAAATATTGTAACATTCGAATGAGCGCCAATGAAACCCTAATTTCTCTTAAAGTTATCTAACTGGAAGTTCAAACACTTCATCTAGCAGTCCTGCAATTGTAACAATATTTTAGGATCTTTTTTATTGTGTACAGCTCTTCAACAAAAAGTAGCCTCCTGTATCAAATAGGACCCCCTGACAAAAAAATCTCAAATGGGACCTTTCAACATAATGTATCCTCCTGGCTCAAATAGACCCAACACAATGTATCCTCCTGGCTCAAATCATCATCAACATCATCATGTTGGCTTGTCAACTAGGACCCCTCAATGGATGTATCCATTGGCTCACAATCTCAAATAGGACCCGGGAACATAAATTCTCCCATTGGCTCAAATGTCAAATAGGACCCCTCAACATAAATTAGCCCATCCAGCTCAAATGTCAAATAGGTCCCCTCTCTACCCTTTATCCCATTGGCTCAAATGTCAAATAGGACCCCTCAACACAATGTATTCTCCTGACTCAAATCTCAAATGGGACCCCTCAACACAATGTATTCTCCTGACTCAAATGGGACCTCTCAACATAAAGTATCCTCTTGGCTCGGATGGGACCCTCAACATAATGTATCCTCTAGGCTCTTTATCCACATCATTGTTATCCTATTGACTCAAATGGGTCCCGTCAACATAATGTATCCTCGTAAAATCTCATCTCAGGAACCATCCTCCTGACTCAAATCTCAAATGAGATTCTTCCTATGTATCCTTGGCTCACATGATCATCATGCCCTCCACTGGCGATTGGATCTGATCACAATCCCTGGTTGCTGGAACAGCTCTCTTGATATATCCCTGCATGCCATCGTTTTAGCCCACCCATCATCTCTCTGGTCTGCCTCTAAATTAGAGTGATTTCCAGTTGTCACAATATTCTCCAATGTTGAATTATGTGGCCAAAGAACAGTGTTTGTCTCTTTCTTATTGTTGTATATAGAGATCTATTTTCATTAGCTTCTCTTTATATCATTGTATACTCTGGCCTCAAGTATTCTCAACATGGGACTCAAGAACCACATAATGTATCTTCCTGACTCTTCCTAATTTGTTCACTGAATGGGATTTCTGTCAACATAATGTATCCTATGACTCATTTTAGCACTCCTTTCTTACATTAATGTATTCTCCTGATTGCAAATTGAACCCCTCAACATAATGTATCCTCCTGACTCAAATGGGACCCCTCAACATAATGTATTCTCCTGACTCAAATGGGACCCCTCAACATAATGTATCCTCCTGACTCAAATGGGACCCCTCAACATAATGTATCCTCCTGACTCAAATTTCAAATGGGACCCCTCAACATAATGTATCCTCCTGCTCAAATGGGACCCACTTTCAGATGCATTTCATTTTCAGCTTAAGGAACAGTACACAATCACAAGCAGCCATATCAAGCGCCATGGCAGATTGGAAAAAGTAATAGCAGAAGGCATGGTACCAGAAAGGAGAAGCAGGGGCAAACCAAAATGACAGTACATGAGGCGGGAGAGCTGGCAAGAGACCGAGTTTATGTCCCGCAGACGGTGATGACAGTGATGTTCTGCTAAAGACCTGCTACATGATGATGACAAGCTGGGAGAATGAATTCAAGAAATGGGATCAATAAGAGAAATGTCTGGGCAAGCATCAAAAGTTATAAGGTTGAGAAGATGGTCCTATACTGGAAAACATTCTGATGGTAGATGAACAGAGAAGCACTAAACAGATACTGAAATAGGGAAATAGAAGGATAAAGGAAAGAGGACATTGAAGAGAAACCCTAAGGTGAAAGCTGATGAGAGAGGCCAAAGATGCTGCACTGGATTCCATCCATGATATCAAAGTGATTGCACAGGAGAGAACAGAATGGGGAATCAGAGTGCGAGCCCTATGTGACACATAAGGGCAAAACAAGACACCGAATGAGATAAAAGTCTGGCATGAGAAATGTGTTTGGCCAATACAGTCTCAATCAGATGTAAAGAATGGACAGTTGTGTTGTGATGATGCAGCTGCCATGTTGCCAGCTGCCCCCATGCTGTCTGCTACACACTTCAGGTCACAAAGATCACATGATAGGCACAGGTCATGCAGTTACCAACCATCCATATGAGACAGTCTAGGTACAAATTACAAACCTACAAACAATCTACACAGCATAGTCCCTATGAAAATCAGGTACCCATCAAATACCTACTTGAGATATTTGATGTACCAGTCACATACCTGCAGTCATCCATATAAGACGGACTAGGTACAAATCTTAAACAAATCTGCAACTTTGTGGATTTACTGGCACACTTAATTTTATAATTTTTGCTATTTCATGTAAACACTAATAGTGTACAATTCCTTACTTTTTCCATCGCGTCACTAAAACATGGTCTCCTACATCCACCTGGATACGAGGCTCATCTGTACAAGGCACACAACAACCAATACGTAAGCCTTTAGAAATGGGAAACATACGTCCAGAGTACTTCTCTCTTATAACATACTCCAGTGTCCTCTCCCTCTTCTCCCTCTTCTGAATAAGCTGCTCAATCTAAAGTTGAGAGGAGAACAAAGACAATATTCAGTAACACTGAGTATACACGTGTATGAAAGAATATGTGGCTTAAAGGTTAGTAAAAGGGTTTCACAATGCAATTCTCCATGTTTAGCAGGGTAATTTAGAATAAAGACTGTTTACATGCTTTCAGACAGTGGTACGAGAGTCATACTGTGGAAGAGACTGAGGTCTCACAACATCATATTCTCATAGTTAGTAGAGGACACACTGCAGCCAACATTCACTGTGGAGGTGGCACTTCTTCTTTTTCACTTCCTCTTTTACCGCTTTGGGTGTTGAGGCAGATATTAGATTCTGCTTCTTGCAGCCTCGTCCAGACACACTGTGTTGTTGCAGAGTTTCTCTGATGTTATCTTTTCATCTTGTTCTTGGTCTACCTTGTGCTCTACACCCATCCCCTCTTCTGGGTTTGCTTTGTATGGTATGGTCTCATAAGGCATTCTCTCTAAGTGGACAAAACATTTGACCTGCTGTCTTGGTATGTCATTTAGAATTGGTTCTGTGCCAACTGTTTTTCTTATAACCTCATTTCTGATTTGATCTCTTCTGGTCTCTCATGCAGCCCAGCCTTTTTCAGGTATCTCATTTCTGTTGAGGTGACACAATTTAAAAAAAAATGTGTAGAAAATTACCAATTAAAATACCACAATCAATCACCTAACCCAGTCTGAACAGTTACTCATTTAGTCAATCTTCAGACATCATATCCTGGAGGGGAAACAAAACAAAAACACAAACAAAACTTTTCTCCTTCTTCTTCACTAATTCAAGAGGCAAAAGAAGTGCTTGGGGCTTATAAGCAAAAGTTAATGGTCGACGTTTGGTGCAGGAGAGCTTGGCATGATACCACAACATCCAGCTTAAGAATGGAGGTTGAGGCGGTCACTGCAGCTTTCCGCTGGCTACAGAACACGCACACACACACACATCGTGATTGTAACTGATACAGAAAGCATGTTGAGGAAGATCAAAACAGGTATGCTTCATGCAGTGTGGCATGCTTCGCTGCGGAGGACACGGGTGAGGAGTATCGTCTTGATTTTTTCAATGGGGATGCAGGTGTGTTGGGGAATGAACAGGCGGACAGACTGGCTGATTTTGCACAACTTGGTGGAATACTGATACATGATAAGGCAGACACAAAGAATTGGCACTTTTGGTCACAGGACGCTGGGGTTCCTAATCAGGGATGGATCTGAGCACCTATGAACATGCCTGGAGTGCAATGATCATATCACAACTAAGTAACTAACTAACTAACTAACTAACTAACTAACATCTTAGTTCAGAGATGTCTAGTTTTAACTAAAAAAAAAAAAAAAAAACAACATCAACAAAACAACAACAAAGACTATCATTCATTATGTTATCTATAAACTAACAGATGCGGCGTCCGTGACTAAGGCGTTGCGAGTCTGACTCATAATTCCAAAGTACCGCGATCGAAACCCACTGCTGGCTGCGTGGATTTTTATCATCTTATGGGGCATCGCAGGTCGACCCAGCTTAAAATGGGTACCAGGATGGCTACCCTGGGGAAGTAAAGACGGCCGGCATTATACTGACCACATTACCCACCCAGTGCCGATTGGTCTGTAAAAATATAGGAGGCTCTTCCCATATGCCAGATGCACCTAAGCGTGAAAAGGGATCTTTACTTACTTTACTTATAAACTAACAGATGATGTTGAGAAGGCGTAAAGAAGAAGAAGAAACAGAAAGGGGGTAGAAGGACAGGAGAAGGTAGAAAAGTAGCAGAAAAGAACAAAGATATGAAAGGTCTATTGGTGCTGGAGGAAAAGACAACAAAAGAATAGGAATGAGGAGCGTGCTGGAGGAAAAGACAACAAAAGAATAGGAATGAGAAGCGTGCTGGAGGAAAAGACAACAAAAGAATAGGAATGAGGAGCGTGCTGGAGGAAAAGACAACAAAAGAATAGGAATGAGGAGCATGCTGGAGGAAAAGACAACAAAAGAATAGGAATGAGGAGCGTGCTGGAGGAAAAGACAACAAAAGAATAGGAATGAGGAGCGGGCTGGAGGAAAAGACAACAAAAGAATAGGAATGAGGAGCGTGCTGGAGGAAAAGACAACAAAAGAATAGGAATGAGGAGCGTGCTGGAGGAAAAGACAACAAAAGAATAGGAATGAGGAGCGTGCTGGAGGAAAAGACAACAAAAGAATAGGAATGAGGAGCGTGCTGGAGGAAAAGACAACAAAAGAATAGGAATGAGGAGCGTGCTGGAGGAAAAAAAAAACAAAAAGAATAGGAATGAGGAGCGTGCTGGAGGAAAAAAGACAACAAAAAAGAATAGGAATGAGGAGCGTGCTGGAGGAAAAGACAACAAAAGAATAGGAATGAGGAGCGTGCTGGAGGAAAAGACAACAAAAGAATAGGAATGAGGAGCGTGCTGGAGGAAAAGACAACAAAAGAATAGGAATGAGGAGCGTGCTGGAGGAAAAGACAACAAAAGAATAGGAATGAGGAGCGCGCTGAAGGAGGCAGACAAGGACGAGAAAGAAGAAACAAATGAACAGCATACTATTTTAGGTAACAATAATACACAAGTGTTAACAATGCGTCAAACTCAAGTGTACTCACTGTCAGTGTGAACTGGTTGCATCCCTCGACAACATCCCAGGTGTAACCATTCGACTTAGGTCGACCTGACCAGGTAAATACCTGCCTCAAATTCTCCTTCCATCCCAGATTGTAAGGGTAGACAAATTCTCCTTCTTCCTCCTCTCTATCTCTGTCCAAGGCCTGTACAATCAACAAGAGATTCAATGCAACAATTATCTCAACAATATACTTACTTATTTATCAACAATATACCGACTTATTTATCAACAATATACCGACTTATTTATCAACAATATACCGACTTATTTATCAACAATATACCGACTTATTTATCAACAATATACCGACTTATTTATCAACAATATACCGACTTATTTATCAACAATATACCGACTTATTTATCAACAATATACAGACTTATTTATCAACAATATACCGACTTATTTATCAACAATATACCGACTTATTTATCAACAATATACCGACTTATTTATCAACTATATACCGACTTATTTATCAACAATATACCGACTTATTTATCAACAATAAACTGATTGACTTAGGTCTGCAAGGTGTGGTCATGCCTGGTACTGCAGCCAGCAGTGTTGGGGGTAGCCAGCTCTCCTAGGTAGGAGGGTGAAAAACAAAACTTAGTAGCCTACTGCTGTCTCATGATCGCACAAGCCAACCCCACCTCCCCATAGTGCAGACTGGAAACTGTATCAGTGAGGATACAGATTAACCGGGAAATGGCCATCTGGAGAGGAGTGGGACCCGTCAGGATGGAAATACTGCCTGAGACGCAATACGCTGTTGACAAATAGATAGGATACTACCTTGGCTTGGTCGTCGCCTGGGTAACCACCAAGGACCGCGCCATCGCCCCAGATCAGGGTAGGTGCGAAAAGTTAGCTACTGATCATTATAAGAGGAAGTAAATATGCGGAAGAAACACAGCAGTTTTTGGCATGTGGAATTCCCTACTTTAAAGCAGGCTGGCAAACTAACAGAGTTAACAACATGAGCTGGAAAGGTATAGTTGGCATCTCATTGGTCTATGTGAGACTAAGTGGAAAGGTATAGTTGGCATCTCATTGGTCTATGTGAGACTAAGTGGAAAGGTATAGTTGGCATCTCATTGGTCTATGTGAGACTAGGTGGAAAGATATAGTTGGCATCTCATTGGTATGTGAGACTAAGTGAAAGGTATAGTTGGCATCTCATTGGTCTATGTGAGACTATGTGGAAAGATATAGTTGGCATCTCATTGGTATGTGAGACTAAGTGAAAGGTATAGTTGGCATCTCATTGGTGTATGTGAGACTAGGTGGAAAGGTATAGTTGGCATCACATTGGTCTATGTGAGACTAGGTGGAAAGATATAGTTGGCATCTCATTGGTATGTGAGACTAAGTGAAAGGTATAGTTGGCATCTCATTGGTCTATGTGAGACTAGGTGGAAAGATATAACATTGGTATGTGAGAAGGTATAGTTGGCATCTCATTGGTCTATGTGAGACTAGGTGGAAAGATATAGTTGGCATCTCATTGGTATGAGTGAAAGGTATAGTTGGCATCTCATTGGTGTATGTGAGACTGTGGAAAGATATAGTTTGGCACTATGTGAGACTAAGTGAAAGGTATAGTTGGCATCTCATTGGTCTATGTGAGACTAGGTGGAAAGATATAGTTGGCATCTCATTGGTATGTGAGACTAAGTGAAAGGTATAGTTGGCATCTCATTGGTCTATGTGAGACTAGGTGGAAAGATATAGTTGGCATCTCATTGGTATGTGAGACTTGGCATCTCATTGGTCTATGTGAGACTAGGTGGAAAGATATAGTTGGCATCTCATTGGTATGTGAGACTAAGTGAAAGGTATAGTTGGCATCTCATTGGTCTATGTGAGACGAAGTGGAAAGAGTTTGGGGAAATAACATCTGATCAAGGACATGCATTCTACTTCAGTGGAGAAGATAGAGGAGTAAACGGCGTTGGCTTTCTTGTGCATAAGAATTTTAGAAATACAGTTATTGGATGCAACTTTGTCTCGAGCAGGTTCATATCAATACACTCAAACTCAACCCCTTTCAATATTACAGTCATACAAGTCTATGCTCCAACTACAGACTGCGATGACAACTCTATTGAGTTTTTCTATAACCAACTCCAAAACATTATTGACAAAACACCAAAGAAAGATGCAATGATAATCCAGGGAGACTGGAATACTAAGGTAGGAACAGGTGAGCAGACAGAATGGAAAGACACATGTTGACCTTTCTGCAACTAAATCATCAGTAAGTCAACAACCTCCTCTTAGCTAACACATTACACAAGAATTTGGACATGGCACTCACCAAATGGCGAAAATCACAACCAAACAGACTACATACTATTCCAAAAATACTTTAAATCTGGGAGAAACAAAGGAGCTGATAGGGAAAGTGACCACAATATGGTGCTATAAAATTTTAGAATCCAACTGAAACGTTTAATTCATGCCAAGACCATATTACTGAAATACAACATTTAAAAAACTAAAGGGTCCGGTGGTGGCAGATAATTTCAGAGTCAGCATTGCCGGAAAGTTTGCTCCTCTGATTAACAGTATGAACAGTGTAGAAACACTAACACATGAATTAACCAAAATAATGAAGGAAACAAGAAATTACTGAGATATACAAAAAAAAATAGAAGAATGTAACAATTGAACAACAGTAAAAAACTTTTAGCATTATTTCAAACATCAGTCGAGAGAAAACATCTAGAAGTAACACCATCCAAGACACAGAAGGTAACCTACTCACAAAAAGTAATGACATCCTTTCAATCAATTATGATAAGCTATAATGCTAAACTGTCTAGCATCTCTCTTGGTCTCCCTATGCCTCTTCCCCCTCCAACTTTCCCACTGTACTCCAGTGTTCGCTTTCTTATGACATCAGTAAAAAAAAAAAATTTAGGCTGCCTCCTCCTCCTCCTCCTCCTCCGAGAGTCAGTTTCTTTCATTACTCTTTTTATCTGTCCAGGGTTTTCTCATCATGTGTCTAACCACATTTTCTTCACTTCCAAATAATCTTTCACTAACTGTCCAATCGTCCATGATTCCTTTCTGAATATCATGATAGGATTTACATAGCTCTGGAGAATTCTCTTTCTCATCTTAAAAGAAAAAGAATGATTGCACATTATTTTCTTTATCATTAATATAGTACATTTCCTGAGTGTAGTGTTGTTAGTTCTTTACTTTTTCATTCATTCTTCATCACAATATTCTGCTTTACTGTACTCAACTCTATATTCACTTACCTTATCTATAATCCAAGACTCGATTCCTGTCTCATTTTTTAAAACACTACGAATCTGCAAGATTAAATTCATGTATTACAACACAGCCAATCATCAGATCATACCACAAATATATATTTAAATATATACTCACACACACATACACAAAATAAAGAAAAGCAAGGATAGATAAGAAGGATGAGGGCACAACAAAGAGAGAAAATGGGGAAGGGGACAAGACGAGCTGGAGAGAGAAGATGAAGGAAGAAAGTCAGAGAAAGGAAATGAAAAAGACAGAGTGGAAACAGAGAGAGACCAATGAAAAAAGATGAAATCACTATTACACATGATTTCTGCAACAATGTGTTGTATACAGAAACATAATTTTTCTTCTGCATTCGACATCTGTCATGCTAAACAGTGAGTCCCATCTGGGTCACAAATAGGATTGTGTGTTTATGGTCACCACCGTTCCCCCATAGCTTCTCTTTCAATGTGGCTCCCTTGGGCCAGATCCACAGTCTTTGCTGGGAGAAGTTAGGGCAGTACTGCAGTATGTGCTCAGGGGTCTGTCTTTCTGCTCCACAATCACAGGCAGCAGATTCTTTTATGCCTATCCTCTACAGGTGTGCTTGAAGACCATAGTGCCTTGTCCGAAGTATAAAAATTGATGTTTGTTCTTTCCTGTTGAGTTTGTTTATGCTGTCACTCTCTGGTCTGTAATCTCCATTCTGTCTTCTCCACTCCTGCTTGAAAGACTGCTTTAGCACTGTTTTGGTTTCCTTGTAGCTGTGTGGTGGATGAGGCTGTGGAAGATTACTCCCAGCTTTTGCCAACTCATCTGCTCTCTCATTTCCTTGAATACCACAGTGGGCTGGTATTCACTGCAAGACCAGTTCTGCTTCCTTGGAGAGTAAGCCAATGTTGGTTCTTAGATCTGCAATTAGTTTGTTTTGTTTTTTCTTGATAGTGCTTAGAGAACAGATAATGAGTCACTAAGTATAACAATTTTGTGCCCTCTTTGTTTTTGAGTGATGAGATGTTGGACTGCAGAAAGGAGGGCAGTTGCCTCAGCTCTGAAGTTAGTACAGATGTCACCTGCTGGTAGAGAGAGAGTTCCTGCTCTACTGCTAGGGGGTTTAATGTAGATTGCAATCCTGGAAGAGGAAAAACTACCTACCCTACCTCGTTACATGATTATAAAAAAATATTTACCGGCCCACCTGGACTTCTCTGCGGCCCACCTGGACTTTTCCCTGGCCCACCTGGACTTTTCCCAGCCTACCTAGTCTTTCCGCGGCCCATCTGGACTTTTCCTCAGCTTACTTAGATCTATCCACGGCCCACATGGACTTTTCCCCAGCCCACCTAGACCTTTCCGCGGCCCATCTGGACTTTTCCTCAGCTTACTTAGATCTATCCACGGCCCACATGGACTTTTCCCCAGCCCACCTAGACCTTTCCGCGGCCCATCTGGACTTTTCCTCAGCTTACTTAGATCTATCCACGGCCCACATGGACTTTTCCCCAGCCCACCTAGCCCTTTCCGCGGCCCATCTGGACTTTTCCTCAGCTTACTTAGATCTATCCACGGCCCACATGGACTTTTCCCCAGCCCACCTAGACCTTTCCGCGGCCCATCTGGACTTTTCCTCAGCTTACTTAGATCTATCTACGGCCCACATGGACTTTTCCCCAGCCCCACTAGACCTTTCCGCGGCCCATCTGGACTTTTCCTCAGCTTACTTAGATCTATCCACGGCCCACATGGACTTTTCCCCAGCCCACCTAGACCTTTCCGCGGCCCATCTGGACTTTTCCTCAGCTTACTTAGATCTATCCACGGCCCACATGGACTTTTCCCCAGCCCACCTAGACCTTTCCGCGGCCCATCTGGACTTTTCCTCAGCTTACTTAGATCTATCCACGGCCCACATGGACTTTTTCCCAGCCCACCTAGACCTTTCCGCGGCCCATCTGGAGTTTTCCTCAGCTTACTTGGATCTATCCACGGGCCCACATGGACTTCTCCAGCAGTTGAAGAACACTGTTCAAGACCATTCACAAGGATAAGTTCAGGCCAGCGGGGCCTAGGCATATGATGCTACTCATAATTGTACTGAGCGACTAGCACTTGGATTTAGAGCCGCATGGTAAGTGCCGTCACTACAGACTGTGCAGGGTAGGATTCTATTTTTGAGCCAGACATAAAAAAAAAAATCTACAACCTTACAGAAGATTCCAATTTGAGTATCCCTCATGAGAGCACAGCATTCTTAACTGTTTAGCCATTTGAACATATACAGTAACAAAATCATGTGTACAAACCTGAATATAACAAAGCATGCCCACAGCGATGATGACCCCAATGGCCAGCCCTACAGCAAACATGGTTATAACAAATCCAAAAACCCCCAGGTACACCAGAGGCTCGTCTGGTCTTCGATGGTAATAGTAATGCTGAAACGTAACAACAGAAACAATCACACACAAGCATAGCTATGTTTGTGCCAGCTCCTTAAGTCATGTAAAAAAAGGGGGAAGTAAAGGATCCTGTTCCACCTATATTTTACAGACCAATCGGCACTCAGTGGATGACGTGGTCAACATCATGTTGGCCGCCATTACTTCCTAGGACAATACCTGACACCCATTTTGGCCTGGTCTGAAATGGGAGCTAAGGTAATTTATGAAAAAATCTGGCTTGATGCAGATTTGAAATTACAACCTTCAGGCCCTAGGCGAACATCTAGTCACTGCACCATGGAGGCTCCCATAAAATCATAAACTTGATGGCAAAAGAGCAAGTAGTTCAACGACACCCAGACAGGGATAACTGCTGACAGAGACTGTACATGTTCTGAAGTACTAAATCATTACAGGTAATTGATTGGTATTTACGTCCGTCAATTGTGGTCTTGGTGTGCACAGTTCTGTGCATGCTCGACACAGGGAGTTCCTGAGTTCCTGGTGAAGGCAATGGTTCTGAACCAACAGAGGGAGGATGTTAAAGGAACAAGAGCTCACTCAGCCCAAACAGTATCACTGCAGTGGGAAAATACTGGTCGAGAAGCAAAGGAAGACAAAAGTGTTTTTGAAATGGGTAAGGTTTGGGTTTAGACGATGGATCAGCATCGTGGCAAAAGGGCTAACTCATAAGTGCTCTGTTTTTAAGACTGAGTCTGAAGAATCCCAGCCCAGTGCTTGAACTTTGTAGCATCGGCGAGAATCCTGAAATACTTTGAGTAGATTTTTGACTCAGAATTTGTGCCCGGGCAGGGTTGTCAGGCTACTCTTTTTGATTTTCAACTGCCAAGGGATTTTTTACGTGCGCAACAATACACATGGGCGTCCGATCTAACTACCCAGAGACCAGGGGAAATTGCTAGAAGTCCACGTGAAAAAACCACAGCCTTCACTGGGGCCTGAACCCGGGACCTCCAGCACTCAAGGTGGCCATGCCTCGAGACCACATCGCCCCCCCGAAATGGATAAAAACAGAAGTAAGCTTATACAACCCAAATTAGCATACAACATTAACTTCCATATCTCTTCTTCTTCTCAAAGTCCATGCTGGGTGGTGTTGGTAGTCATGTCTATCCACAACCTTCTGTCTCATGCACTGTCAATCAACTCTGACACAGATGAACCTCCATGCCATAATGCCAAACTATCCAGCATCTGTTCTCTCACCTCCCTGTCTCTACTACTGTCGTGTACTCCACTTTTCTTCCTCAGATGACCAAAGATGTAGACTGTCTCTTTCTGATGTGGGCAATCAGTTCTCTTCATGAGTCAGTTTCTTTCAAGACATCCTCAATACTCTTTTTAAATGCCCAGGGGGTTCTCATCACTCGTCCATAAAACTCCATCTTCCGCAGCTTCTCAATAATTTTTCACCAATCGGCCAACTGTCCATGATTCACCATATCACTAGCACTAATGAACTAGTCATGTGTTCAACAGACATGTGTTGAACATACATGTGTTGAACATACATGTGTTGAACATACATGTGTTGAACATACATGTGTTGAACATACATGTGTTCAACATACATGTGATCAACATACATGTGATCAACATACATGTGTTCAACATACATGTGATCAACATACATGTGATCAACATACATGTGTTCAACATACATGTGATCAACATACATGTTTTCAACAGACTTGTGTTCAACAGACATGTGTTCAACATACATGTGTTCAACATAGATGTGTTCTACATAGATGTGTTCATCATAGATGTGTTCAACAGACATGGATCAGGTACTTACAAAATTAAGTGCCTTGTATATGGATGGGATGATGATAAAAAGTGCATGCACACAACCAATAGGAGCAAACAACAAAAACCAACAGAAGTTAGCATGGTTAAAGTGACCACAACAAGTGTTGATCCATGGGCAGTGATGGTCCATCTTCATAACACATCTGTGGAGAGACAAGTAAAACACAATACTGCTAGAAAGTTGATTTGTGTTCAGCTTATCTCTAACTGGACAATGCAGGACAGCCTGATATCAAAACAGTTATAATATTGTCTATATTCTGTGAGTGTAAACTTCCCAACTTGTTCTTCTTCATTCACCCTTGAAAGGATGCCTGGCACATTGTGCTGTACAGCTTGGCTGCAATATCTGCACTTTTTGGCCTTACATATCTATTTCAGAAAACTCTTAAGAAGTAATCTTTCATGACTTGCTTGTTAGAGGATGTCAACGTTTGTGGTTTAGGTGTTGAGAATGAGCTTTGTTTTGTAGGAAACTCGCTTTTAAATCCAGCTGCGACTCGCTGCAGCCCATGGTCGGTGTTTCCGAGGTTCACTCAGCCTCTAGGAAATGGGTACCAGTGTTAATACTCTGGGGTAAATGGAGGAAGGTTGCTGTAACTACGGAGTTTCGTGGGGAGGGCGACACAGGTGGACATTTTCTTATCAGCTGTCTGTACTGGTGGCAGGAATAATGGTTTTTAACTGTGTGCAATGACGCTGTTTCATATCTCCTGACTTTACCTTTATCTAATGAGCTTTGTAATGCCAGAGGGCTGGGTTTGATCCCAGCTGCAGGCTGTTTTTCTTGTGCTGGTTTTAACAGTGGTACCAAGAGCTGACTGTTCAGAAGCAATGGCAAACTACTGAACTTAAAACTTGCCTAGAAAAACAACAACAGCCAAAAAATGCCGGGTTTGGTTCTGCAACGACCTGTAAAGGAAATGCAATTAACTTTTGTTTTTGTGTGTTAGGGGATATGGAGTTCATTATTTTTTCCTCTCCTCATAACAGGGCTCTGGAACCTACAGAGAATATTCCCAACCAACAACTTGGAACAAGTTAGTTAGTTAATCTATAAATTATGCTCAATGCACATCAGACAAGTCCATATGGGCTCCGACCCCATCTTCTGTATGTTCCTCAGCGTATGACAACTGATAACACATTTATTATTATTCTTTGGCTACCTGTATAGCGTTCATGTTGGTGATATCTCTTCTGACCTGAAGTTCTTGTAGTGTTTTGAGTGTTGCCCATTCAACATCGTCTTCTGAATCATCTTCTTATCCTGTCTCCTTGAGAGCACTGAGAATGTCAGCTCGGTCCATTGCTTTTCGTGTACCTATCCTGGAAGCAAGCCAATCCGCTCATTCATTCCCTCCTACCCCAGTGTATCCTGGCACAAAAATGAAACTAATTCCTTTCAGATGGGATTTTCTTAGTGACTCCAAACATTTGTTATCAATCCATCCTGTCTCTATCTTCTTAAGCATGCTCATGGAATCACTTAGAAAGCACACATGGGAAAAATGCTGTGTCTCTAGCCAGAACATTACTTTTGTTACCACAATCACCACTATATTTGCACTATGCTGGTGTAAATGACATAACATTTAAACATCACAATTGTGGATTTAGCCCCTGTAGACTTTACAGCGGACATCTTAGGGAGAGAATAATCACAATTTAAAAAAGCAGAAATGTATTACTTTCAGAGACATGATATTTATTGCAGTTCATGCTAACACAAACAGCCAGATTTCTTTACTATTCTTAGACAAAAACAGACAAAATATAATAAAAGACTGCATCTTGCTTGATACCCAGGGCAACAGCTGACCACACATGGTGCATTGTTTTGTGTAGAAAGAGTTCTATTTTAAAGAAAAACATTTCATGGAAACCCCTAGACCCTGAAAACAAACTGTATATCTAAATCAGGCAATCAATCAGGTGCAACAAAACTGCACAGGGCAGAACGGAACTGAGAACAGACTACAAGATCCTGTGACATTGAAACAGCACACTCAGATGACTATGATGATGATGTAAGTATGTAAAGGATGTCCTGCGGCCACACATACTAATTCCTACCAAACCGGAAGTTTCTTCAACACTGACCTGGGTTCCCAGGCCGTTATAAACACATACCTGCCACACCGTTATAAACACATAACTGCCACAATGATCTGGGTTCCCAGGGAGTTATAAACAAAATACCTGCCACAGTGATCTGGGTTCCCAGGCCATTATAATCACATACCTGCCACACTGATCTAGGTTCCCAGGCGGTTATAAACACATACCTGCCATACTGATCTAGGTTCCCAGGCCATTATAAACACATACCTGCCACAGTGATCTGGGTTCCCAGGCAGTTATAAACACAAACCCGCCACAGTGACTTGGGTTCCCAGGCAGTTATAAACACAAACCCGCCACAGTGACTTGGGTTTCCAGGCAGTTATAAACACAAACCCGCCACAGTGACTTGGGTTCCCAGGCGGTTATAAACACATACCTGCCACACTGACCTAGGTTCCCAGGCGGTTATAAACACATACCTGCCACACTGATCTAGGTTCCCAGGTGGTTATAAACACATACCTGCCACACTGATCTAGGTTCCCAGGCGGTTATAAACACATACCTGCCACACTGACCTGGGTTCCCAGGCGTTTATAAACACATACCTGCCTAAATGACCTAGGTTCCCAGGCCATTATAAACACATACCTGCCACACTGATCTGGGTTCCCAGGCCATTATAAACACATACCTGCCACACTGACTTGGGTTCCCAGGCGGTTAAAAACACATACCTGCCACACTGATCTAGGTTCCCAGGCCATTATAAACACATACCTGCCACACTGATCTGGGTTCCCAGGCGGTTTTAAACACATACCTACCACACCGATCTGGGTTCCCATGCCATTATAAACACATACCTGCCACGCTGATCTGGGTTCCAAGGCGGTTATAAACACATACCTGCCACACTGATCTAGGTTCCCAGGCCATTATAAACACATACCTGCCACATTGATCTGGGTTCCCAGGCGGTTATAAACACATACCTGCCACAATGATCTAGGTTCCCATGCCATTATTAACACATACCTGCCACACTGATCTAGGTTCCCAGGTGGTTATAAACACATACCTGCCACACTGATCTAGGTTCCAAGGCGGTTATAAACACATACCTGCCACACTGATCTAGGTTCCCAGGCGGTTATAAACACATACCTGCCACACTGATCTAGGTTCCCAGGCGGTTATAAACACATACCTGCCACACTGATCTGGGTTCCCAGGCAGTTATAAACACAAACCTGCCACACTGACCTAGGTTCCAAGGCCGTTATAAACACATACCTGCCACACTGACTTGGGTTCTCAGGCAGTTATAAACACATACCTGCCACACTGATCTAGGTTCCCAGGCGGTTATAAACACATACCTGCTTCACTGATCTGGGTTCTCAGGCGGTTATAAACACATACCTGCCACACTGACCTAGGTTCCCAGGCCGTTATAAACACATACCTGCCACACTGACATGGGTTCTCAGGCGGTTATAAACACATACCTGCCACACTTCCTGCAATGATGTGATCTTGGAATTTTGTAGCCTTCACATGATTCACAGTACTGAAGATAATTTTCATCCTCAGAATGTTTCTTTAAAAGAAAAAGAGTTACATTAAAACCATAATGTATAATTTTGTCCTCGTAAGACAACAGCTCTTCTTCTCCTGTTGCAACTGCCATTAGAGTGTGGTTGGCATGCTGCAATGTGGTTTATAGCTCAGCCATGATATCTATGCCTTTTGGCCCAACACATCCAATTTCAATGAAATCTTAATTAGTCCATTTTTTACAATATGCTTGTTAATGATTCTATTCTTCTCTCCAACAAATGCTGAGTTAAATAATGTTGGATGTGTTAACAAATAACAACAATGTTGGCTGAGTTTAAACAACAATAATATTGGCTTAGTTAACAAACAACAAAAATGTTTATTGATTTACAAATAATAATGAGTTAACAAATAACAATAATGTTGGCAAAGTTAAACACCATGGTGCTGTTTCCAGGCCTAGGATAAGAGTAACTTCCCTTGCCATTCATGCCTCCTTAGGACCTCTCCTATGTTTTCTTTATTGTTAACGGTTTAACTGTTGCCTCTTTTCTTGTCTGCTCACTGCTCGCTTTCACATTCTGCTACCTGCGCGATGGTTTGGGAGATATGAAACAGCGATATTTTTCTATTCATAAGCTCCCTGTAACGGCTTTCTTTCTTTTGAGGGAGCGCTAGTACCAACGAATGTAGAAATACAAAAACAAAACCAGTTCTGATAGCCAAGAATCGTTGCTCACGCCGCTTGCCCCTGCAGTACTTTTTACTTGTACACAGCGCCTGCAGCGCCTGAAACAGACTCAGAACAACACAACCTTCCACAAACATTACATACGACGAGCGAACACCAAACCCTGCCATATCATAACACCCTCGCAACATATGAGAGATCCAGCGACCTAAGATGGCTTGAATGGCAAGAGAAGTTATTTGGGCCTGGAAACATGAACAGGACCAAAATAATGCTGGCCTAGTTTAACAAATAACAAAATTTTTAAATTGATTTACAAATAATAATGAGTTAACAAATAACAATACTATTGGCTGACTTAACAAATTTAAAAAACATGCTTGTTGGGCTAACTAATTATTATAACAACTATAATAATAATAACAACGCTGATGAGTTTACAAAAAAAAAATCATGTTGCCTGAGTTAACAAATAACAAAAATGTTTATTGATCTACAAATAAATACTGCTTGAGTTTAAAAAACATTATGGTTGAGTTAACAAACAAAAATGGTGGTTGAGTTAACAAACAAAAATGGTGGTTGAGTTAACAAACAAAAATGGTGGTTGAGTTAACAAACAAAAATGGTGGTTGAGCAAAAAAAAAATATGGTTAAGTTAATAAAAAACAAACACACATACCGGTCTCCAGTTGAAAGGTACAAAACCTGGTCCCTTGACACATGCAGCAAAGTAATTGTAGAGAGTTAGCGTCACCCACAACAAAAACACAGTAATGTTGAAGAAGCCACCAAGGCTCAGATGTGGGGGCCACCACATCAAGTGGCATCTGACAGCAACCCAGGTGATGGTAAAGATGATAGTTAAGGCAATGAATGGTCCCCAGTGGACAAACTGCTTCCACGTCCCAACAACTTCATAACCCATTCTCAAGAATTGATTAAAATTGCTGCAGGAAGGCAGGGAATAGTGAGGAAGAGAAATGGGTTCCTCGATGTTCACTTAAATGGCTATGACATATTTTTTGGGGTAATTTGTGGGATACCTGGAGGAAAAAATAATTTTAAAATGTTAAAGTTAAAAGGCTTAAGTTGAGAGAATCAACTTCAATACAATGTGGTTATCCCAGAAGGCTCAGTCTCATGCGGCGTGGGGGATACTCTCGGTGGTGGCAGAAATTGCCGTAAGTTTGGAATTCGGCGGTGACGTTATAGTCCCCAGAAGTGCGCAATTGACACGTGACTGAGGCCCTGTTAGGGTATATTTTCCGCCTCGATAATTTAGGACCGTTATTCGGAGGATAGCTGGGTATTTTAATCTCTATCCTGGCTCTCCTCCGAACGGCGTCAGAATATTATGGCGGCCATAAAATATCCTGTCCTGGGAAAGTAAAGACAGCCGGCGTAATGCTGACCACATTACCCATCGAGTGCTGATGGTCTGTAAAAAAATGGGCGCTCTTCCCATATGCCCGATATGCCAAATATCCTTACGGGGCTCAGTTCTATTAAAAATATGCTGGCTCCATATAACGAAGCAAATGCTCTAACAGGGTCTCAGCGATATGTTACTTGCGGACCTGTTTCTGTGACTGTGCCTCAACGCCGACCGTATCCGTAACGGCGCGGGGGACAGGCTCGGCGGTACATTTAATCGTGTTCTGCGCATGCCGAAAAGTGTCAGGATACAGGTCGGCAGGTCTAACATCTACCGCTGCTAAATCCTTAATTTGGACGAACAGTATTGCTAATATGCATCGAAGCGTGTGGTCTACCCGCCATATCGCTGTCATTGTCTGTAATGTCTCAACATTGTCAGTAGTTGCTATTATCGTCTGCTAGTATCGTCTGCAGACACGCTCGACTTTGTCACCGGTCACTTTTATCGTCGGCTACTATCGTCTGCAGTGTTGCGCCTCTTGATATTGTCAAGTAATTCTAGTTTTGCCGCGATTTGTTCCTTGGCAGACAGTCCACATTTTACATATGCCTGAGCGCCGTAAGGATATGTGTGGATATTTTATGGCCGCTGTAATATTCTGACGCCCTTCGGAGGAGAGCCTCTATCCTTCTTCTAAAGCATTCTAAGCCTTTGACATTCATTGCTGCAAATATCATGCACCTCCATTCATCTCTCTGGCTGGCCTTCCCTTTTAGTTGGTGACACCAAGTATTTGCAGGTCTGCCTGGACATTATCTCACCATCATCTTCTTGGTCTGTCCCGTGGTCTATGACCATTCATCACTCTTGTGTTTAGTTTTTACTTCTCTGCATTCTGACATCCAGCTGTGATAATTTCATAAATAAAAATCCAATATTTGAACTTTACTAGCATTTCTATCAATTAGAATTTCATTAAAATTGTATTATAAAATAAGTTAAAACAGCTGTAACATGTCAACGTAACTTGGAAAATTGTTATGTGATATATTATATACATGTTACTTGTTATGATATTTTGCTTGCTTGGCTGGTGTAATTTTATGATTTAGAAAGATTCAGATATCGTCTGAACTTAGTGACAGAAGTCAGTCACTCCCATCCGTGTAAAACTGATTTTCGAAAACAAAACGTAAAATAAAATAGAAGAACTCAAGAAGGTTGTCGGTTCTTGATTCTTAATGATAATGCTTCAAATGTTTATCACATAATGAAGTTAAAATTTAACTTCATTATGTTTTGAACATTTAAATTAAATGCAAAGTTCTACAACAAAGAACCTCCAACAAGCCAAGCAGAGCAAAATATACCTTTAATTCGGGGATGAAAGCTAACAATGCCTGGAGACAGTAGCCTAGTGAAGGACCTGTGTGGACCTGGAGACGGCGACCCGACAGTGACAGAAACATCGCCCTGCTGCTAGACTGACCTCCCCTGCATTCTCAGTTTTGATGGAGACCGGCGCGTTCCAATGATTTATTTTTCTTTATTGTTCACCTGTATCTGTATATAGTTGGAATTTATGTTAGGAGGAGAAAATCTTAGAATACAGAATAACATGTATATGTTGAAATTCAGTACAAAAGCTCAAACATGTGTGTTTACTGAAGTTTGTTCCGTTGCATTTTCAGGTGTCTGCGCATAAAACCAAAAAACTGTAAACAGGAAATGGCAGATCTTGTTTCTTTTACACTGTTTGCTGTCCTAACTCCTTCCCTCCACCAGGGGCGTGGCTACCCGTGTGCTCACCTCTTTGAATACCCCGGCCAACCAAAAAAGAAATGTCAGCAGGAAGGACTGAGCCCACTAGACAATGTATAATTCACGTCTAAACGAACCCCTTCACCACGTATAACATTATGTGTTTGTTTATGCAATTATTATAATGTTTCATTGTCATCTGCACATATGCCCTAATACTAGATAGCAAAGCGCTTCAGATGGTAAAACACTGCCAAGCCAACAAAGGGTGTCATTTAAACTTTAACTAAGCATTTCCCCGGGTAGGTGTGCGGCCCAACAGCAGCCCATCTATAAGAAGGATACACTGAAATTGAAAATACTACTGCCCGGTGGTCAAACCTTGGTTGGTTGCGGGCTGAGAAGCACAACCAGAAAAAAAGCACGTTGAAGACGGAGACGCAATGTCAAAAGGCACAGACAGTATGGGGGAATCCTCCTTACAAAACATGGCTTCACACATCTCTTCTTTAATATCGCCAACAGAGACGCAATCTTCACACATCTCTTCTTTGATGTCGCTAACAGAGAAGCAATCTTCACACATCTCTTCTTTAATGTCGCCAACATAGGCGCAATCTTCACACATCTCTTCTTTGATGTCGCTAACAGAGAAGCAATCTTCACACATCTCTTCTTCAATGTCGCTAACAGAGACGCAATCTGGTCTGTTCCAACCTCATTGAAGATACAGCTATGTTGTACACGGGGAGATTGGAACTGCACGATAGCTTTCCTAAAGGCTACAGCCTCCTGATATAGGTTTTCTAGGGAAATGATTGAAGAAGAGGAATATAACAATGTACTTAAACAAGGCTTACACCCTAGGCCGTACCTATGGAAGTTATAAGGGGCTGAGGTCCAAAGACAGATTTAGGCATGTGAAACACGTACAGCTGTGCATTGTGGAGGACACCAAAAATCCCAGATGAAAAGAGAAGGCAGAAATGAACGGAGGCGGGTTGTATCTGTAGCAGTGAACCTCAATGTCTCTGAATTCTGAAAAGGAATACAACGAAGTGTTCTAATCTGCTTCCATCCCCATGTGAATTGGGGAGCCTCAGTTGGGGGAATAGGGGTAGAATTGCTGCCCCTAACAAGTATGTCGTAAAATGCAACTAACCGGGACAGGTTTTTCGAGGTCGGTATGCATCTGCCTGACAGGAGAGAAACTAACAGTCTGCATACAAGTAAGCCAGACATGTGCACACAAAATTAAAGTTCTGGAACAATCAAAAAGTCCAGAATTTGACGAACAACTAGAACTTTCCCCCAACGTTTACAACCAGTCAGTGCTACAAAGAAGAAGAAAAAGAAGAAAAAGAAGAAGAAGAAGAAGAAGAAGAAGAAGAAGAAGAAGAAGAAGAAGAAGAAGAAGAAGAAGAAGAAGAAGAAGAAGAGAAGAAGAAGAAACAGCGGGGGAAAAGATTACTTTATGATATTGCAGACACTTTGAGCAGGATGTACCTGACAAGGAAAGTCGCAGAGAGAGGAGAGTGTTTCAGGCTGACTGTGATGTTCTGCAAAACATTTGCTACATGATGATGGTGATGTTTCAGACTGACTTTGATGCTCTGCAACACATCTGCTAAATGATGATGGTGATGTATTATGAGTATTAATATCTGTATGGTGTAATGCGAGTAGTAATATAGCGCAGTATAAAGTGATTAGGCAATGTGTCACAATGACCAACAAACTGCTACCCCCCCCCCCCCCAACCACTTCAAAAATACCTTTAAATACTATTTGGGGAAGACGTGGAGAGAGAGAGAGAGAGAGAGAGAGAGAGAGAGAGAGAGAGAGAGAGAGAGAGAGAGAGAGAGAGAGAGAGAGAAGCCACAGAGACAGAAAGACATATTTGTGTGTGAGAAAAAGGCAGAAAGAGAGACAGACACAGACATACAGACAGAAGGAGTGTTGGAGGGAAGAGCGGTCGTAGCAAAATGTTTAACACTAGAACACTCTAGAGTTAAGAACATACATCAGAGCTCGTTTTATAAACTCTATTCAAGCCCTGACAAAAATACGAAAGAGAAGAAAACGATACGGGAAGCGGGAAAACAAAAAATAGTTGAAACACCAAGAGGGAAAAGAAAGGAGAGAAATCCCAATTTAGGAGAAGGAATGATAAGATGGATAGGAAAAGACGATTTGGAAAAAAAAAAAAGACGAAGAAACGCCTAACCAAAAACGCAGTCGCTAATAATGTGTGAAGGTGAAGAAAACAAACACGTGCAGGCATAAAAGTGAGATTTTTAAAAACTTGAAACCAAACTCATTCTGTTTTCACATATATCTCCTGAAAGTCTGTCCTAGCTCCACCTCTACCTGGCAAATGAAGAACAGGGAAGAACTTGCAAGCATAAAGTTTACACACACACACAAAAAAAAAACAAAAAAAAACGATGGAACCAGAAACACATTTGAATTCATTTTCATAATATTTTTGGAACAGTTCTGCTAAAATATTCGCATGTAACTTAACGCCAGAATATTACCCATGCTTTTTGTTGTTCGTTATATTTAATTAGAGCTGACTGAAATGAAGAAGATTGATCTTATTCTTAATTTAATTAGGAAGGTTTTTTATAATTTTAATTGCAATTATCAGGACATGTTTAACATACCTTCCGCTCTATTTCTCCTGTAAAAGAAAAAAAAAAAAAAAAAAGGACCCTTTTCCTTGTCTTCAGTCGTATTGGGCATATAGGGCTAGACCTATATTTTAAAGACCAATCGGCACT